GGGGGGGGGATTAAATCCTCTTCTGAAAGTGGAACTCCTGCTTGCCCTGATCTGCAAGATAGCAGTCAGCTTGAAAAACATTGCCATGGGCTCTTGAACAAGTGATACCCCCTTTCCAGGCCTCAGCTTCCCTGTTTGTAAAATGAGCTTATTGTCCTGAACAACTTCAAGGATTCTCCCAGGACCACTATTCCATGGCTTCTGTCTGAATTGAAACCTCAAAGGACTTGTCACGGGGTATAGTTTAAAAGAGGGACTCAGGGTAGCTCTGCTCCTCCCAGGTAGATACTGATGTTGATAAGTTATTTTCCTTAAAAGTGAAATCTTAAGACATTTACAGCACTAGAGTCTCCTCCCATATTATTTATCATTTCTAGCTTTGAGATTTTCTTTCTTTTAGTGCCATTTTGAACATAAGCTTACAATGCATGTTCTAGTAATGCTTTACATTTGCTTAGAACTTTACAATGTTTTGACATTTCTTATCATCGTTGATCCTCACCATGCCATCTATATAAGTCATCTTTCCTATGAGGAGAGAAAAGGAAAAATTATCCTCATTCTCATTTTAGAGGTGAGGAAACTGAGCTCAGAGATGTCTTCCCATGCCCTCAATCACATAACCAGTAAGAGGCAGCTCTGGGAGGCTTCCTGAGGGGCGTGCTTCTGCCATTCTCTGCCCACTTTGTTCCTTGATGAGTCACACCAAATACTCATAATAGTTTATGAAAATAAATCTACCCCACCCTTTAATATTTCTTTTTTAGCTGAGGATGTTTCTAGCCATGGAAATAAGGCAGAGAAATCTCTTCCTTAGCCACCAACAAATGACATTACTACAATGGAAAAAGCACAAAAACAGCCTGGAATTCCTCATTACTTGACCAAACCGTGTTTCATAAACTCTTCTAAGATCAGTCTGAGAACTGAGAGCCACTGATAACATGAAGCAACATCTTCTAATTTGTGTTTTCAGGAAGATGTTTGTAGATATGCGTGGGGGGAGGGTGTGGATCATAGGCTAATGAGTTTAGAAAAGATTCAATTAAACAAAATTGAATAAGCCTCTTTATTGTAGGACTTGTCAAAGGCATTAATGTGGAAAAAGGTATGGAAAGTCTCCAAAAGACAGGTGTAGTGAGCAGCATTTCCCATGCTTGCTTGCTTACAGAGCACCTCTCCTTGTTCTCCACTACACCAGAGCTCTGCAGAACACAGTTTGGGGAATGAGGTGTGGTGGATTTATCCACACAGCTCAGGGGCCAAATCCAGTAGTCCCAACTTCTCCCTGTAGCAACATGAATCATGTAGGAAACCCTCAGTTTCCTAGAAGTCCTGGTCCAGACAGGATACTCTGTGCAGGGAGACATTTATCATTATAGCAGGAGCATTAACAGCATTTATCTTAATTTAATCTTGAAAAAATTTTATCTTAATGAAAATGACACTCTGTGACATGAGTCCCTGGTGCTTCTGGGCTTGCTACTCTGGGTGGCTCTTACAGAGTAGTTCAAGGAACAGTGTGGAAAAGAATCAGGAACAGAGTTGTATGGAATGCAACCTGGACCTGGGCCCATCACTGGAGCAGGCAGAAAAGGTTCAAGTTACCATTCCAAACAAAAGATCAGTAGGAAGGCAGAAGAGCTCAGAAACCTGACCTTTTGAAGAAGCCAAAGGCTGCCCTGAGGTGCCAGGAGCATAGGCCTTACAAGTGAGAAAAAACCGTGGACATTTAGTTCTTAGTGTTGGCACATTTTGAGCAGGAGCATCCCTGACAATTGTATGGCCAGGTGCATCTCCTGGACTCTCACTGCCCCCAGTGTTGGGCTTCTCAGGCAGGTGGGAGTCCTGCCTTGGTTTGCATGAAGAGGTTGGTTTGTGTGTTCGCTGAGAATGGCTCTGATGGAAACAGCCAGTTGCCAAAGCCAAACACATCCCTCAATGGGCTCTTACTCAGAGGTTCCTTCAGAACAGTGTATGCTTTTGAAACCCCTCCCCCAGCTCAGTTGTAACCTTAGGAACTTGCACAGAGCAGTGGGAAACACGTTTGTTTGTTAGTCTCAGTTCAGTAACTTCCTTGTCTTTGCTTTCTGCTGCGTGGAGTAGAACCCAGCTGTTTGGGCCCTACCCCAGGTAAGACTGCGGTGTGGTGATTCTGCTGTCTCCAGATCTGTCACAGCCCCCACAGGCTCTGGGACTTCACTCATATGCCATGGGAAGACTCATGAGTTGTGTTTGCTTCCCCTACCCCCTCACCAATAGCCTGCTGGAGAAGGTTGAACAGGAAACATGGCGCGAGACCGGCATTTCCTTTGTGACCTCAGTCACCCGCCTCATGGAACGCCTCCTTGACTACAGGTATCTTCTCAGGCATCTACCCAACCTCTTCTCTGTTAAGGATACTCTCTCTAACAAGAATATTCTCTGGCCTTAAAAATAAGACCACATGCCCTTCAGGGAAAGGACTGTTCCCTGAAGTGAGTGTTGATTGCCATCACCAGTCATTAGGAAATCTGCTGATGGCCGAGGAGAGAGAAGGAGTCAGCTTTCTCTTGAATGGATTAGGACTACCTGGGATCCCCCACCTCAAGATGTAGCACACCCCCAGAAAGCATCCCAGGGACATGTAGCCAGCTGGCTTTCCATCCGGAAGGGTCAGGGCTCAAGCACAGCAAAGGGGCAAAGAAAAGCTGTCTCTGGAGCAAAACAAGGGACAGGTGCAGGTCCTTAGTGCAGACTTTCCTCAGCCCCATGGCATATGGGCAGGGGTGTGTCACCTGGTAAAAAAAATGTGACCTCTGGGAGGGCTTTTAGTTGGCTTTTCCAGGGACTGGGGGTTCTACTTTTCTATGCCTCCATTCTTTGCCTAAAATCTGTTTACTTCCCTGGGCCTGGCCATGAGCAGGTTAGAGGAAGCATCCACTATGTTGAGGAATCTTTGTGTTGTGGTCAGTCTGAGAGTTGATGTGGATTCAGAGTTTCTTCATGAAAGCCTGCCTTTCCAGTCATATCATGGCTTTTGAATTAATCCAAAAGTGATAATAAAGCTACCACTGAAACCTTAGTATCTCTCTCAGCAAGGTTCAGGTAATGGCCAGGGATGCCCTTTGGGAGCCTGGAAGAAGGGGATAAGAATGAGGAAGAATGATAAAGACATGAAACCTTGCCCTGAACAGTATTTGTCTCCTCTATGCCACAATCTTGTTCAGAAACCCCATGGGAAAGCCTTCTCTGCCTGTAGACAGAAGATGAGGGTGTTTAGGCCACCTCCAGTTGCTGCTGAAGTAGAAGGTGGTGCTATGCTAAGATGTGCCATACAGAAGACTCAGGGGTCCACATGCATTGGCCCAGATACAGAAATGTAATTTCTGAGAAATGTGCTCACATTGTGAGCCATCCGCTCTTTCTGTAACATAGTTGTACTTGTGTGAACTTCAGCCCATTTTTCCTGATCCCCAGGAGTCACACATGTCCTCTGGGGGCCCTTTTTTTTTTTAATTTTTTTTTTTTTAATTGTGATTTGAGTGAAAGTCTGTAGAGCAATTTCATCTTTCATACAGCAGTTCATACACATTTTGTCTCATGACACTGACTGCAATTTCCCACAATGTAATAGCTCCCTTCGCACTTCCTCCCCACGGTTACTTCTTCCCTGTGTCCTTCCCTCCAATGCACTCCTGCCCTGCAGGTGGTCTCCCTGTGCATACACTGCCCTTCTGTTCTCCCATAACTAATCTCTGCAAGGAATCTACCTTATGTAAATGTTCGGCCCATATGCTGGTCTTTTATTTGGCTGGAGGCCACAGGGGTGAGTTCAATTCCATATCTGAAGGGCAGCTAGGGGCCATAGTCTCAGAGCTTCACCAGGCTCTATCAGACCAGAAAACCTGGCCTTTTTTTTTTTAATAATTTTGAGTTTTGTTCCACATTGTTCTCCCACTCTATCTAGGATCTCCTATATAGATACCCCTCTGAGTGTTTTGACATTGGTAGCCAGGCACCATCTAATTCTGGTCTCATGGTCATATAGGCTGAGGATCGCATGGTGTACCAGTCACTTGGACTAATTGTTTCTATGCATCTTTGGTTTTCTTCATTTTTCTTTGCTTTGAATGAGGAGAGACCCATTGTTCCATATAGATGGCCACTTGCAAGCTTTTAAGATCTGGGGACCCTTTTTAAAGCAGGAAATTCCTTTGCTCATGTCATATCCCCAGCGTCCCCTGCACCTGCCAACAGAGAGAGAAGGGAAGTGGGCAAAGACCTTCACCTCCTCACTGCAACATTTACTAAAGAAAGGTTGGCCCCATTTTCTGTGGGCTACCAGAAAGGGCAGAAATTAAGTTCCAAGCCCTGGTTCTGCTTGGCTGTTTGATTTCTCTATTGGAATGTGCCATAAGTACTCTAACTCACAGCCAAAACTAATTTCATTCTCCATTTCTTATCCTGGATAGTATCTACAAAACAAAATCCAAACTCCTCATTGGTATCAAAAGCCCTTCATATACTGGCTTTTACCCTCCTCTTTGGCCCTATCTCATGCCAGTCCTGATACCCACATCCTGCACCCCACCCTCACAGCATTGCTCCTTGTTAACATGACAGGAAACAAATGATGGCTCCTATCTATTGAAAATCTACTATATGTAACATGCTCTACATACATTATCTGTAATCCCGTAAGAAACCCTACACAGTTATCCTTGTTTTTATCAATGAAAAAACATAAGAAGAAAGTGCCATTGCCAAAATTTGAACCCAGGTCTGACTCAAGAGCTATGCCCTGTCTTCTCAGCTACGTTGTCACCACTCAGACTTCTCTACAGGCTATATGTCCTCCCAAGAGTGGCTTCTAGCCCATCCCCATCAGCGAGGCTTTTCCTGTCATGGACTTACTTGGCTCTCTGAGCACTTCTCTTTCAGAGCATAAGTCACCTTGGATGGTGGTCATTTGTCACTTGTCTGTCTCCTTGACAGAGGAGAACCAGCTCCTTCAAGGAAGGGAACTTGTCCCCTACATTAGTCCTGGACCCTGGTGGGTGCCAGTAAATATTGATTGATTGGGTGAACTTACTAATCAGACCACACAGGAACCAAGTAAGTCTTGTTCACTGCCCAATGCAGTTTAGTTCAACAAGAATTTATTAAGAAAATACTTGCTGATGGTAGCTCAACTTCCAGCCAAACAACAGACAGTCCTACGAGGTGAATATTTACACCAGGTAGATACACTCTTTAGAACAGTCAACCATGGGAGATCAGAAGGGCAGCATTTGTACAGGGAGACAGCTCAGAGAGCAGGAATGCACAGTAAAGAAGGACACAAAAGAGAAAAGGTAACCACAGGGAGGAAGTGGGAAGAGACCTGTTGCATTATGATGATTGCAATCAATGTAAAAAAGAAAAGAAGATACTTGCTGAAAGTTAAATATATATATATATATATACATACATACTCAATTGAAAATAATTTATAGGCTATATTCCAGAATGACCTAAACCTCCAGTGTAAGACTCAATTTCAGACTGGCATTGAGGACCTGGGAGTATCAGCTTTCCTGTTAATTCCAGATACTCTGCATCAGCTATAAGATGCTTGCTGGCTTCAACTGTATTTCCCAGGTTAGGAAACAGAGCCCTTAGAAGGGCTTCCTTAATGTTCTGGAATAGACAGGGACAGAACTGTGGATGCAAAGTCCTCAAAGCTCCCAGTTGGATCGCCACCTGGAAGAGGCAAGGTTGTAAAGCCTTCCTTTCCTGGGCCCCTCCAGTTTTATGGAGGGCTGTCTGGCCACTCATCTGGGCCACATCCAGCTTACTGCGTACTAGTGAATAAGAAGCTTCAGAAGAATCTTCCCTGTCAGTCTTCCAAAGAAAGAGCAAAAGGGGGAACAATATCTGTGCCCAGTGACAGGCTTTAAAGAGCATCTACTCTGTTGAGTAGCCACGCAGAACTGATGCAAGAACTCAGAGAAGAGTCTGCTGTTAGCAGCGCATGGGAGAGACATGCTTTTGTGTTTTATTGACTGGGTTGTGAAGTTCTGGTTACGGTCAAACAGATGATGTCTGGTAAACATCTCAGATGCTGTCTAGAAAATCAAACCACTACATGCCAACACAGCTAGATAAGACCTTGCTGCCCTCCCTGGGAGCAGCTTATTGGAGAAACAGGAGCCTCCTCTACCCTGTGGGTTGCTTGGCACTAGTGGCCCCTATGCTCACTCCTCTTAAAAAAGTCACAGCAATGTCCTGTCCTTGCTAATGCTAAAGGACAAGTTCTACAAAGGTATGCTCAGGATCCTCATGTCTGGTTACAAAAGAGCCACATGCCTTGTGGGATAAATTTGCTGGTATAGTAAAGCTCAGCAAAGAGGGCTTTGGTTCCAAACACACAGAGCTGCCAACTCTGACAGTAGACCACCATAGGAAGGACACTTGACTTTGCAGAATGCCATGAGAGTGGTATGGGTTTTCAGTATCCCATTCTTTCAAATAAGTCACCTCATAGCCACACTCCATGTGCTGAGGTGCAGCTGGGAAGGTGGGGGAGCTGGGTTTGTCAAATGACCATCTAGAGGCTCAAAGACTTGGCCTTGGGCTCCTGACTCCCAGCTGTGCCACACTTCACTGGACTTTGCGCCTGTCATTGGAGCAAAACCCAGAGACGTACTCCCAGCCCTGACCCCCACAGGCTGGAAACTCCCTACTGCAGCCTTTCTCCAGAGCTGCTAACAGACAGCTTCACAAGGAACTGGACCTTCTCCAAAGCAGTGTGAGGTGCCACAGAAAGAGGGACAGCAGGCAGATGGAATTCCGACAGGCTGTGTGTAAAGGAGGCTTCTTGTGGCATTCACCAATCTAGTTCTCATTCTCCTTCATCTTCTTTTGTGGAACTTCTGCTCCCTTCCAGGGGAGCTTGGCTTTGACCAGCCCTCTGCTCTCCCTTGGGAAAGATCCATTCTATCTTCTACTGTCCTGTGTCTCACAGGCCATCCCCAACCTCTCCCACACTCAGACCCTTCTCAACATGTGTGCAGCTCAGTCCTTGCTAAAGCTCCCCAGAATCAGAAAGAAGCTCCAGACTCATTGCAACTGGTGGAGAGGTGGTTCCAAAGACCAGTGCACATAAAGGGGACCAAGTGGAGAAATGCCAAGTAGGGAGTGAGCATGTTGGCCATGCTGTGGGCATTGTAGCCACAGGGTCTTGAAGCTAGCGCCTGTTGGTGGGCATCTTCATCTAAGATTTGGTCATTCTAACACCCCAGTGACACTACAGCTCTGTGTGTTGTCCCAGTGACATCCCTTCATGTCATGGAATGCTAATCTTTGCTTTCCCTTCCAGGGACTGCATGAAAGGAGAGGAAACAGAGAATAAGAAGATTGGCTGTACTGTTAACCTGATGGTGAGAGGACATGAGCTCTCCTTCCATCTTCCCAGTGGGATGATTTCTGTCCTACAATGTGATTGGCTTGGCCTTTCTTCAGTGTGTGACTATAACTGCCTTAAGGGTTTTAGCCAGGACATCAGCTCTGTTACGGATATCTTGGAGGCCTGTATCTCATCAGGCACATTCCTGCTCAGGAGCGGAATGGAATGAGCTTCTCTTTGAGTAGAGCTCTAGTCTGGCCTCTTCACAAGGTCCCACCGACCTTGATGTCTTTTAGTTCCCAATGTGCCTGATCCCTGGTATGCCCTGGTGCTCTTCCTCTTTCCCACTACTCAAAGCTCTCACGGATCTGCCAGTGATTCCAATAGCATATATTTCTTCTGGCTGGTCCATTCTCTTTCTGACACTGTCTCTGCCAGGGCCCAGTTTCTGTCTCTAGCCTAGCGCACCCAGAGACTTGGCCAGTTGCCTGAGGCTCAAATAGGTGGCCTCCATAGATGGCAGCCTGTCTCATATTGTGTTTTCCTTCTCACTCCTGCAGAACTTTTACAAATCTGAGATTAACAAAGAAGAGATGTATATCCGCTATATCCATAAGCTCTGTGACATGCACTTGCAGGCCGAAAACTACACAGGTGAGTGTGCAGTGCATAGCCGTGCCTGCCCCTGAGGACAGACTGGGGGGATATGCACAGCTGGCAGAGAAAGACCCTGAATGGTGCCTGCCACATCCCAGTAGAGTGCTGGGGCCCCTGCTGCCCCATGTCACCTCATTCCTGTTCCTCAACCCCTTTGTTGCATGTGGTGGAGAGATAGCAGGCAGAACCTTCACTTGTTCCTGCAGGCCATGTCCTCCCTTGCCTGAGGCTGTCCCACTCTTCCTTCCTCCCACCCACCCCTCGGAGGTTCAGAGTGTCTTGAGCTCATGGCCCCTCCTTACAAGCAGAGCCTTTCTTAGGGCCTTTAGAGGTAATATAGGAATATCCTCCCCTAACACACACACACACTCGGACTTTCAGAACTCACTGACCAGAGCTACCTTGCAATCTGGACTCTTCCCTGCAACTGCACAGCAGCCTCACACTGAGTTCCCAATGGAGAATGTTCACAGATCAGACGGGTACCCTTTAATTGTAGTTACAGTGTAATCTACTAACTAGAACAAATTTAAACACATTCCAAAGTCCCTGTCACGGTCTGTTTACTGAGGGCCACCCTGATTCAGAAGGGTGTGTGCATGCATATGTGTCCTGCCTGATCACCTTGTACCATAGCACACAACAAACCTTCCCCACTGTGATGACCGGCCCCTGTTTCTTAGCCTTTGGGCCCTAGGACTTGAATTTGTGATAGACCAGGAATCAAGCTATCTTTGTCCTCAAACAACACTAGATATTAGATGGATTTACAGAAACAGAGAATCCTCCTTCCTCATCTCCATATCTTAGAGAGTGATTGGCATAGATGCCACTCATTCTGACAGCACAGCCTGGCAAGAATTAAAGCTAAAATGACTAGGCTGAGTCTGCCATCTCTACTTCCACCCGTGATCTCAGCAACCCTCTGAGAGAGCAGGAAAGAGTGAGACTTTGATATACTCCATGTAGCAGTAAAAGCATCTGCTAAATTCCTGAGGACTAGGCTTTGCGAGGTTAGGTCAGGGATTTGGACATGGTGTAGATACTGAGCCTTTTTCTCTGGTGGCCTTGAGAATGACAACTGAAAAGAATGCAGGTAGGGAAAAAAGCTACCTGATTCCCTAAGGGAGGCCCTGAGTGCCATAGAACTTATCCCTAGAGAGAAAAGGCTTTCTGGATCAGGTGAAGAGGCATGTGCTCCCTGGGCAGGTAGATCCAGTGGCAAGGTCACAGCCAGAGAGTCTGAGATGGAGAGCCTGCAAAGTGGCTAAAACTGGAAGTGGGTCATGAAATAATTAGAAATTAGATTTTTCATAGTGAGGAGGAACAGAGTTGAGTAGGATCTTGAAGGCCAGACAGAAGCTAGAACTAATTAATTTGCCAGTAGGAGATGCCTACTAAAACTGAGCAAATAGAACAGGAAAGAGCGGAGTATGTAATGAGAACACTAAGCAGCAGCTGTAATTCATGTGACTCATCCCTTGAAGTTTAGGGAGCTACTATATTTAGCTGTTGTTTTTTGTTTGTTTTTTATATAACCTTCTCTAATTGTCCCACCCATAAAGTAAGATAAGAAAGCTCTGGTGTCATAGTGGATAAGGCATTTGGCTACTAACCAGATCAGTGGTTCAAACCCACCAGCTCTGCTCTACAGAAGGAAGATGGGATCGATCTACTTCCATAAAGATTTACAGCCTCAGAGACCCAACGGCGTCATTATGAGTCAGAATTAACTCACTGGCAGTGAGTTTGGTTTTGGTTTATAAAGTAAAGTATTGCTGGACCTCTACTCTGGGCCGAGCATCAACTTAGGTTCCTTCAGAAGTGGAGCCTTTGGCTTCAGACCCATAAGACAGTTGCCACCATTCATACCTTTTCTCTGTAATGTCTTTTAGAAAGGGTAGAGATGGGAGAAGGAGGAAGCATCGTTCCTAGGGCTATGCTAAGGGCAGAAAGTGGAACTAGAGGCATTGGGGCCAACTTTGGGAGAGCTGAGAGAAGCCTTGGTCAGTGCTCACCCCAAAGAACCAGTTCTGAGGAAGTTGGAAAGGAAACTCTGTTCAGTTAAGCAAAATGCAACCCAAAAGCTCTCTCCATGTGTCATTGTCTTCCGAGGCAAGACAGTCTGTGCACCCTTGTAGAAGTGACCATGCAGACTCTCTGGTAGGTGGACCATTATTTATCTGGAGCCCACAACAGGTGACCAGGCCATGGGGGGAAGATGTCTACCTGGATCTGTTGCTGTTTTGTGCTATGGACAAGCGTTGTTGGCTGGCTGGGCAACAACTCTCTGTGGGTCTCCCTCCCTCACTTTTGATCCTGGTGTCCCTGACCTGGGCTGCATGCACCTTTCCCTGGTGTACTGCTCAGCACAGTCCTCTGGCACCAGGCTGTTCCTGAGCCCCTGAGAGGGGTTGCCTGGGCCTTCACACTGCTTCTCCCCATAGAGGCTGCATTCACCCTGCTCCTCTACTGTGAGCTACTACAGTGGGAGGACCGGCCGCTACGGGAATTCCTCCACTACCCATCCCAGACAGAGTGGCAGCGGAAAGAGGGACTGTGCCGGAAGATCATCCACTACTTCAACAAAGGCAAGGTAGGTGTCATTAGGCAAGCCCCTCAGCTTTCACCATGATGCGTGGCATCTTGACACTGTAGGGATGGCAGCAGCTGCAGAGCAGGGCTATGTAGGGCAGTGAGTGGGTGGGTACTTCATGTGTGAGAATCAGTTTTGGAGGCAACAGGATTTTCTCTGGAGGGAAACAAAAACAGCATAATTCTGTGGATTGGCAGTCAGCTCCAGATCAGGAATGAGAGAGCCAGCCCCCGTACCAGCTTGCACATCATGAATGCCAATGCTCTTACAGACAGGACTCTGGTCACCATTTATATTTAAAGAATTAATGAGGGTATAGCTTTGTAATCTGCCATAGAACATGTGAGCTGTTAAAATTAATGAACTTCAGCTGTAGGCAAAAGGAAGCCTCTGCTGCCTCTTACTGGTGCATGTTCTTATCACAGGTCTCTCTTCCTCTCAAAACGGCCTGGGCTTCTGTCATTGAAATTACTCTCTATCAAACCCACTTCTGTGGGATTGGCAGGCATCCAGCATTGGCTTGGGCTTCCTTAGGACTCCCCCACCACCCTGCTCTGTCTCTGGGAGAGCCCTCATGGGGCAATCTGACCACCTAGAGTTGGGTGTGGCCCATGCACTAGAAAGGCTGGGGCTCGTGTTACTCCGCTTTGAGCAGATTTGAAAAAGCCGAAGTCGGGTCATTCAGGAAACTGTAGTGACTGAGCCTCTGACTCAAATGGATGGAAACTGATTTTATAAAATTACTTTTTTCATCATAAAAAAGAAAGATTTAAACATGAATGACTTTCCCATAAATCAGGAAACATCCTTGTCAAAAACATTCACTCAGAAAACTTCACAATCACTCATGCAGAGAACACAACTGGTAAACAAGAACCTTCCCCAAACTGCAGGAGCTTGCATGTAACCTAGCCCAGAGAAGAGGCCCAGTGCTTAGCTCTCACATACAACTTATCCCCAACACACAGCCCAAAGCCGCCTCCCTTCCTGGTCCAGGGCCTGATCTGGAGTCCCCTGCCAGCACACTTTCAGGCCAGCCTTCTTGGCATCAGCACATCCAAGAGCTGCTACTCACACATCTGCCCAGCAGGCCCTCCCAGCTCAGACGAATGGCAGAAGCCTGACATGAATGTACGTGATTGTAGTGTACAAGTTCTCTTCTTTTCTTCCCATGGGAAGAGTGGAGAGTATTCTGACTGACTGAGCCTACCAATGGGACATGTGAGCATTAATGGCTCTCTCTTCATCACACACTATAGTAGTACTTAGAAAAGCAGATTTAGACTTACATGATTTCTGTTTTACAGACTAGGGAGTGAGACACAGAACCTGCCTGAATATTGTAGGTGGGCAGGAAGCAAGGAAGAACTGGTCAGCTCCAAAGCCCACCTTCTTAGGATCTCCGCACTCCTAGCAGCCCTGCCTTTGCTGTGCATCACTAGGGAGCATGTCCTGTGCTGAGTACAGACCACTCAGTGAGCCCTTTCATATGAGCTCATCCTCAAAAGGGCATTTCTGAGTTGTATTCTCTTGGGCTCATACAGAAATTCAGCTTCTCTGTTCCTGTGCCTCAGTACGCAGTAGGACCAGTGGGTAAGACTAACCACATCTTGAAAGGATTCAGGGTTTTTAATGGCTCCAGGAAGGCAAAAGGTGATTGGTGCAGAAAAGTTCTCCTGAAGGGCAGCAGGAGGAAGGCAGAAAGGAGAAGACTTAGGGAAGGGGCAGGTAAAGGTATTGTAATTCCCAGCACTGCTAGCACACCCTGCCTCAGAAGCTGAGCTCCTCCTGGCTTTTCCTCCTCGTACTTCCAGCATCTCTGTTAATGGCCTTAAACAGATCGATGACCCACTCAGGTTTGGTTCCATGTTCATTACTTGGGTACCCAAGAGGATCAATTGTCAGTACAACTGGACCATTCTGTTCTCTCTCCAGTGGTGATTAACCTAGAAACCTGCTGTCCACAAAGGGTAAGCTATCCCAGGCCAGACAAGAAGAGCGAGAAACCCCACAGAAATGGAGTGTGGCCCAGTAAGAGTTGAGAGAAGGAGAGAGAGGGGCAAGGAGGGGAACTGGTCCTTCTTCATAAGGCAGACTGCAGGGAAACTGGACAGAGACCTCAGGCCTCTGTTCACCTGAAATATAGTCCATTGATGCTAGACTAGCCTCCCCTGTGGGCATGGGTTTGGGGTCTCCTGCCCAAGAGTTGTCGGTGGCCCACATTCCTTTAAAGGAATGATAAGTCTGTTGCTTCTAATATGTTGCATGCATCCAGAGGTACAAAGGCTGCAGACTAGTCCCAGGTCTTTGCCTTCCTTTTCAGTTTGATTAGAGTGATCGCTAAATCAGTGTAACTTCTGTACCATCCCTGTGGACACCAGGGCTAGGGAGGAGTGTGTGACAAAGATAGGTCAAAGCATACATCTGCCAGAGCTGATAGGAGTTACGGGACTTCAGACACTAGTAAGGAGTTTTATAGTTGGCTTTGCCTCCTGCCTGAAAGGAGAAAACAAAGGGAAAAAATAGAGATGGGGATGCATTGTATTGTACCTGCAGCACACTCACCACCTGTGTGCAGAGGCAGCTCTCAAAGCCTCAGCCCTACCAGTGTTCCAGCACAACCTGTCAAAGCAGGCAGAGTGTCTTAAAGCTCTTACTCCTGGCTCACTCTAAAAATAATTGGGAAGGCCCTTGTAGCAGCAGAACTACAAATTAGGGTAGCAATGGCAGCAAGACAGATAAGCATTAATCCCCATGGGAGAGAAGTTGAGTTATACTGGGAGTTACTGTTGGCAAGCAGAGTACCTTTAGCCCTACACGGGGCCCTCATCACCTAAATGAACAGTCCCCCATGGGGCAGCTCTTGGCAGGTAGCCAGAAGTCTGCACAGAGCTCAGCTGCTTAGCCAGCCCCCACAGAACTGCCTGCCAGGCAGACCCTTGTGTGGCTGAAACCTGCCCAAGCAGCACTTTAGAGCAGGAAAGAGGACTGACATGTGACTCCTTGAAAGCTGACAGTGTGGGGAGATGAGGCACTCCAGCTGACTGAGGCAGAGGCATTGCATTGGTCCAGGGAGCTGGGGTCTATTTAAAATTCTCTTCAGTTTGTTTCATTCTTTTTAATTGGTCCTGCAGTTACAATCCATATGGCACTGATTTCTTGAGAAGATAGAAATAATGTGCTCTCTTTGAGAAAAACAGCCCCAAATGAAACAGTGCTGTCCTTTTCCCTGATGCTATTTCAAATAGTACTTTTAAAAAGTATAGTCCTTTTAAAGATTCATAGTAAAATATTTATGGATAGAATTATATGATGTCTGAGTTTGCTTCAAAAACTATGGGGCAGGGAATGGATGGAGTATGAATGATAAAGCAAGATTGGCCATGAGTTGGTGATTGTTCAGGTTGGGTAATGAGTGCCTAATAATTCCCTCTTCTCTTCTACTTTTTCTGTATACTTGAGAATTCCTATGATAAAAAATTTAATAATTACTTAAAAGTTGGAGGAAAAATATCAAGTCAACTGACGATTCCAAATCTAACCAAGAGAGAGAAGACACTATGTTAAGAGAAGAAGGAAATGGACCATACTGCCCCTTAATGAAGGCCAATACACTCTCCCCAGACATCCCTTGGCCTGTCATCATAACAGGAGTCATGCCACAGAAACAGCCTGAGATCTGACCTACCAAAGGTCATCTGAATTCTAGTTTAAGCACTGAATCTTTCCATAAAGGAAATTGTCAGGCCTGCTGCCAAGTCTTTGGTTGGTCACTTCCTGCTTGGTGTCCAACCTTGTTTTTAAGCTTAGGTGGTCTTAGCTTAGAAGTCAGCATCTCTTTCATTAGCTCATTAAATTGATAAAGATTAAATAAGTCTTTGCTGAGTACTTGCTACATTCCTGGCACTGTTCTAGGCTCTGAGGATAAAATAAATAAACAGGTTCCTGCTCTTGTCACATTGGGACTAAGGCAACAAAAGAGTAATTTTTTAAAACTTAGATAACTTCAGAGTAATGGGACAGCAAAGGGATGAGGAAGTACGTGTCTTGACAGAGTGGTCAGGAAGGGCTCTTGGAGGTGGAGACATTTAAACAGAGACCGAAAAGATATGCCTTGAGCTAGAAGGCAATAGTGCTGGATGTCATACACCACAAATTGGTTTTGAGCATATGTTCTTTGGGATGTATGAGTTGGCACTAGTAGGAGGCCTTTTATTATGCCCTCTGATGTGTTAGATGTCATCTTGAGCCATCTAAGAATACCTGAGGTGCTAAAGTCTTGTTCCTGTTTACGACACAGAGCTGGGAGTTTGGGATTCCACTGTGCAGGGAGCTGGCGTGTCAGTACGAGAGCCTCTACGATTATCAGAGCCTCAGCTGGATCCGGGTGAGCCTTGCCCCTTCCCCAACCCCAGCCCTGCCACAAGGTGCCAGGCCTTCCTGGCATCAGTTTCTGAATGAGCATTCATGATAGGCCCAGCCTTTGATTGCGTGCTGTGAGTACTACAGCAGAAGCAGAGGCCAAGCAAAGTCCTTGCCTGCCCTCAAGACACTTAAAAGTCTAGCTAAGAGACCCAGACACACACCTGCCAAAGAGTTATATAATCTAGACTCCACAGCTGCTGGTGCAGAGGGAAGGAGGAGCCAGCATAGGCAGGACAGGGTGGGGTTTCAAGGACGAGGTGACTTTGTGAAGAAGCTTTTTCTATCATGGCTTTGTTCAGGGATGCTTCACCAAAAAAACTTTAAAAGCGTTCCTTGCTTTGGCTTATGGTCATTTATAAGCACCGTGTCCTTGCTTCTTGGAAGCAAGTTATTAAAAAAAAAAAAAATGTTAAGCCAAATGCTCCATGAACTTTGGCAATCTCCACGAAATTTTTTTCTGGTGCTGGCTTCTAAATCATAATAGATGCTGAGTTCATTGGCAGAGGTCAGCAGCCTCAGCTGACCCTCCCCCTGCACCTTCATCTATGTAGCTAACTCTGTTCCTTGATTAGAGATTTGGATTTTGACCTAGATGATAGGTGTGGTCCTCTAGGGGTATTCTTGACCAGTCTTTGAAGGCCGCTGCACTCTGGCAGCCTGGCTTGATTGAATGCATTAGAACTATCTTCCTAAAGTTTTCAGTGAATTTTTCTGAACCAGAGCCAAGTCAGTCAAGACTGAAAAACTTACCTACCTTGATAATGCCAGACATTATGGATATTAGTTCACTTTTAAAGTTTAAAATCCCTAAATTGCAACCAGAGCTCTGGTGTTGCAGTGGTTAAAGCATGTGACTGCTAACCAAAAGACTGGCAGTTCAAACCCACCAGCCACTCTATGAGACAAAGATGAAGCAGTCTGCTTCCATAAAGATTTACAGCCTTGGAAACCCTATGAGGCAGTTCTACTCTGTCCTGTAGGATCACTATTAGTCAGAATCAACTAAATGGCAGTGGGTTTAGTTTTTTTAAAAATGGGACCAGTACCAGTGCTGCCTTGCTCACTCTGGCTGTTAGCATCATTAGTCATGTGTTGATGAGCAAGAGCATGTGCAGTTGGACTGATGCAAATTGGAGCTGAGAGTTTTTGTTGTTATGTGCCGTTGAGTTGGACCCGACTTACAGCAACCCCTCCTTGGGTTTCCGAGGTGATATCACTACGGAAGCAGATTACCCAGCCTCCCTTCCAAGGAGTGGCTGGTGGGTTTGAACCTCCAGCCTTCTGGTTTGCTTAGTGCCTTAGGCACTACACTACCAGAGCTTCCTGAGAGTTTTTAGCACGCTAAAAACAGTACTAACCAGGGGTCAATTGTGTACTGAGTGTTAGTCAAAACCAGGAATCCCTAGGCAGAAAAAGTCTGTGTAAGTATATGGCCCCTGGGACATAAACAGAGTAAAAGAAATGTCTGACCCTAATGAACTGACACCAGACTATTGTGATTTGGAGGGGGCTAGTCCACCTACTGGGAAGCATATTCAAGCAGCTGGACAGGACTGCAGTGGACAGGTTGTCCCCATTCCACTATCAGATGGTGGTGGAGGAGAAGGACTTCCTCTTCTATAATACAGCTCCCTGGGAAAAAGTTGATCATGGCCAGGGACTCACTTCCTTATTATCTGGTTGTCATCATCCCTTCCCAGAAGACAGTGACCGCTTGATCAGGTGTCAAGTGGGAGAACTCGCTTTAGACACTGACAATAGTCAAGCCAATCTGAAGGCAACTGGCTTTCTCATTCACAGAAAATGGAAGCCAGCTACTATGACAACATCATGGAGCAGCAGCGCCTGGAGCCTGAGTTCTTTCGGGTCGGCTTCTATGGCAGGAAATTTCCCTTCTTCCTTCGAGTGAGTCCATTCAGACAGTCATGAAAACTTGTATTTTACACAGAATTCATTTATAGTCTGTGTGTTTGGTGGCTTTTTTTTTCTCTCTCTCTCTCTTTCTCCTTTTTTTGCTCATTCTATTGAATATTTCTTTTCCAAGGACTGACCAGTCAACAGATGACTTTATTAGGCTTTATCTGATGAGACAGGTTGCCAGCTTCAGTCTCCTTTTTTTTTTTTTTTTTTTAATATGCTGTATTATTCTGTAGCTACTAGGTAGGTGTGAGGGTGATTTTCTTACCAAATCAACTGAATTACTGCAGGAAGTGTTAAGGGTCTGAGAATGTCCCACAGGTATGTTTAGAAACCTTCCAACTTTTGCCACCAGTGCCTAGAATCCTCCATTGTGACTATTCTCAGCTAGGCTGGGTGCAGTACAGCCCTGGCCTGCATGGTAGGCTGGCGATTATGGTTTGTCATCTAAGACACTGGCTCTCCCCCTGGCTGCACTGTATACCGTACAGCCAGGATGGAGATCTGTTGCCTTGAGAGAACACAGAGCACAGTCCATTTGGCCCCTGGGTCTCTGCAGATACTGCCAAGCAGGAAAAGCCTCTCTCGGGAGCCAGCTCTCTGACTCAGGATGGCAACAGCCAGCTCTCTCCACCATTTCCTGGAAGGCTGAGCTGGGACATAAACAGCGTGAAAGGAATGGCTGAGCCTAATGAACTGACACCAAAATGTTGTGATTTTCTCCTTCATTTAGCACCACCCAGCGGCTCCGGGAGGAGTCAGGCTGGACCTGTATGCTGGAGCCCAGAGCTGTGGTTGTTCTCAGTTGACCTAAATGCCATTGTGTGTGAAGGGGCCCTAGGGCTACAACTGAGACCTAAGAGGAGCTCTGATTGCCCCCAAGTCCAATTTCTTACTAAAGTTATAAGCAGTGTTTGGCCATCTAAGGGAGCTGCTGAGAAAGTTCCTATGACCCCTTTGACATGCTGGGCTCCTATCTTATTGGAGAAATTGCTTTATCCAGTGAGCAGTACACACTTGGCATCACCTCAAGGGTCAACTGGGTTTAATGATTCCTTCAGTAAAGCCAGTCTACTCGCAACAGAGTTCAGGCTAACCACATTTCAGATGTAAGGCAGGTGAACTTGCCCTTTTCCTAGGTAGTAATCACCCTAGGCTAGAAGGGACAGCAAGCACACTCTGCCTGACTGTGATCCCGGTTAGAGTCGAGTTCTATTCCAGGTGAGCATTGCTAGTAGCAGAATGGGAGTGGGTGGAGGAGAACTGGACTTCCTTCACTCTCTAATAACCATCTAGCCCACGCATTTCAGAATTGGCACAGAAAGAGCCCCCGTCAGCATAGATCATAAAACAGGAGTGGAGGTGGAGGTCAGCAAAAGAGGAATAAGGAGTTATACAAGGAGAAACCAAAAGCATCTCCAGAAAGTCCTTTGTCAGACTAATGACTTGGGCCCTATAACTTGCTCCTTTCTCATTTTATCTTTGTAAATCATGCTTTATTATCCTTTTATTCTCCTTGTCTAGTCCCACAATTTGTACATCATAAACCAGAGTTCACTTCAAAATGTCGTTATTTTGGATATCACAAAACCAGATCTCTGTTTCTGCCCCCACCAGGCATGAGCACTCTGTCTTGGTTCCACCTGGTTCCCATCCCTCATAGGATCCCTTTAATAAGTTGTCTCAGAGCTTTCTGACAAGTGGGACCTGGCATAGAACCTGCATCTAGATCATCCAAATACTGCTTGAAAGTAACAGTCTGAGTGTTCAGATGTGGTTTGGACGGGCTCTGGAAAGGGAGAAATAACAAGGGCATTAGGAAATGTCCAGCCTCATCTCTACACGAGGCGCAATCTCTGGCAGCTATGACTTATGCATATAGATTCCGTCCCTTCCTTTCCCTCAGCTGCTGGATTCATGTGTGGCAAATGACATAAGTTCCAGTGGGGATAGTGGTTTGCCTATTAGATGGTAAGGACAAAGTGCAAAGCAGTGACAGCCGGATCTGCCTCTTGTGGGGACACTGGGACCCTTGCCCAGGTGAAGGTGAGCCCGACAGCCAGCCTCAAGGTCAGTGCTCTGTGCTTTCCTCCTCCTGCTGGGCCTTCCCCAGAAGGTTAGGCTACTCCCTCACCATCCCTGGCCATCTATTACTTTAGCTCTGTCAGCTTGGTTCCTCTGGACCATCTGCCTGCCTCCCCTCACAAATGTGATTATCTACTAATCTGCAAGGAGAGGAAAACATACAGCTCTCCCTTCTGGGGGAATTTCTATTTCTCTTCATTTGACCCAGGAAGAGACATTAATGAGGGCTGTACATATGTGAGTGAACACAGAAAGGCCAGTTCTTCACAATTACCTTCTTGGCCAGTTCTGCTTAATAAGCAGAGGCCTGAGAAACGTCTGTCCTTTGACTCAAAATAGAATGATCCGTTCCACTGGTGAGCCTATTCTTGCTGACCGCGACTGACTTCCCCCTGGTCTTGCCCTTCCATTCTGATCTGTCTCGACATGTGGCCCAGCCTTAGCTAAGTTCTCCCATAGTAACAGGGAAAATGAAAAGAGGGCAGAAATTCTATTTCTGAGAAGGATGAGGTCCTCCAAGGCCAGGCCTGTGATCAGCCCTGTCCTGAAAAGCATATGGTGCCCCTATGGAGCTTCTCTTTCTCCCTTTTCCTGAAGACATGTTAGGAGGGGCTGCCAGTGCTGACACTGCTGTGTCAAAGTGGCTCTAGTGAGGCAACTAGGTGGACAGATGTCACCGGCAGGCTTCAGAGGGATTTACTCTAGCCACTCACTTGTGACCATCTGTGAATCAGAGCATCAAGATTGGGGGTACCTTGTCATGGCTTCATTCCACAAAGAAAAACTGAGACGTAACCCAAACCAAATGTGATGTAATGCAAGGTTTCAATGTGTAGTTAGAATGATGTCACTTTGTTCCGTTGACACACTTGCAAAGGAATTTGTTGCCAAAAGGATTTATTAATGCACTAAGCAATTAGTGAATACCTACTGGGCTCTGGGCCAGTACTTAGGCGATTTCTCCCAGCTGACAAAAAGTGATCCTTCAAAAACGTCTGTCCTTTGACTCAAAATACAATGATCTGTAATCACTCCTCTACTTAAAATTATTGCATGGCAATCACAGCAATCACTCCTTGGCACATGGTGTTTCTATAGCTGGCCCAGCAGGCCTCTTCAGCAATCCTGCCACTGGTTCTCCACATGCACCTTTCCTCCAACTGCACCTTTTCCTGTCTTGGCATTGTTGCCCTGATTGTTACTGTACCCACATGAATTGTCCTTTCCCACTCTTCTCTACCAAGCTAACCCAGGTCATCCTTTTGGGACTCTTTTCAAGCATGACTTTTCCCAACGTCCCACTCTCCACCTTAACACCCTTTCCGTAAGGTGCCCCTACCACCTCTGAGCTTCCCTGCAGCCTGTGCCCCACCCCTGTGGCTGCCATATCAGAGTGCAGTTCTCTCTTCTTGAACACCATTTCCCTTGAGACAGGCATTGAATGCTGTGCCCTCTGCCTACCATAGGACCTGGTACGGAAGGGGTTTCTGGGATATTTGTAGGGTGAAGAACTGTGGACTCCCCTGAGGAGACAGAGAGCCATGAGGCAAGACATAGAGTGTGCTCTCATGTTTGTGGCAGAACAAAGAGTATGTGTGCCGAGGCCATGACTACGAACGGCTGGAGGCCTTCCAACAAAGGATGCTCAGTGAGTTCCCACAGGCTGTCGCCATGCAGCACCCCAACCACCCCGATGACGCCATTCTTCAATGCGACGCCCAGTGTATCTTTTGACATTTGGTGGGGGAAGGGGTCTGGGGCTCTGGGAGGTGAGGCCCACCTAGTCAGCGGGCCCCGCCATATTGTCAGCCTTTTGGGCTAAGGATCAACCACAAGTCCTAAGCCAGAATGTGTCCTCATCACAAGTGCACACATAGAAGGGCATTTGTGCCTCATAGAGGGGGCAATGACCTGCCCTTAGCCCTAGGTGGCCCAGTTATTGGCAAAGCTGAGAAGGAGAACCTTTATCCCTTGGGCTAGCTGTTGCCCCCTGCCCTGCCCTGTGAGAGGCCTGTCCAGCCACCCAGGAGCAACCATTGTGAATAAGGGTCAAACCAGGGCTCTTGCCACAGGGATAACGTCAGTGCCCTGCTCCACTCTCCTGTACTAGTCTTTGTCCCTAGTCTTTGTCAGATAAACTAGGACAGAGCCCCAGGGATGAGGGCTGGGGGGAATGGTGAGTGCCTATGATCTTGATGGCACTTCTGAGCTGAATGCAAACACTGGCCCACTCCTCACCCCCTCACACAGTCTCCTTGGAGACCAGATAGCAGTCACCACGAGTGGCAAACTTGTTCCAGAAAGGTAAGGACAAATGGACTCCCATCTGCTCTCTTCACAAAGACTCCAAATAGTATTTTAATAAAAGGTTGCTTTGCAGTAAATATAGTTTACCTACAGTGGGCAGGCCTGGGCCCTTGCAACCTCCTCTCACTTCTTTGGGTTAAGAACCTACATTCTCCTGACCTCCTTCCCCTCTTTCTTAAAGGGGTACTGGAGAACACTTGACTGTTGACAACTCACCTTGGCTGAGTGCTCACGAGACTTACTACTGGAGCTGGGGGTGGGGAAGATAGAACGAGGAGATTTGATGTCACTGTGCTTGGGTCTGATTTGCCCCTTGAGATGCCCCTACCTCCCCTGCCAACTGGAAACAAGGGCTGTGATGCTCTTCTCTCCTTTGTGGGGACAGCAGAGGCAAGTCACTCAACATCCTTCTCTTCGGCAAGTCTGGGTTTTCCCTTTACTTCCTGCCCAGATTTGCAGATCTATGCAGTGACACCCATTCCAGAGTATGTAGATGTCCTGCAGATGGATAGGGTCCCAGATCGTGTCAAAAGCTTCTACCGTGTCAACAATGTAAGGAGGTTCCGCTATGACAGGCCTTTTCACAAAGGCCCAAAGGACAAGGAGAATGAATTCAAGGTAAGCAAATCAAAGAAATCAGGGCTAGTACCCACAGCAAGCCCTGCTTTCTCAGAAGTCCTCACTGTCCCATCCCTCAGGCAGGTAGGATGTGCCAGAATTTATCTAACAGCCTGCTCTTGCCTGTGCCCTCCCTGCAGAGCCTGTGGATCGAGCGTACCACCCTGACCCTGACCCACAGCTTGCCTGGCATCTCTCGATGGTTTGAAGTGGAACGGAGGGAACTGGTGAGACATGTCTTGGTTGAAGCTGAGCTTCACAGCTGCTCCCTTAGCCCAAGCTCTAGAGGCCCCTCTGTAAGGACTGAAGAAAGAAGGAGAGCTTGGGCTACCTGCCTGGCCTAGACTCCCACAGGCCAGTGCTGTGCTGGGGGCTCTGTGTACCTTGTCTCATTTAATCCACACAATACCCCTAAGGACAGGTATTATCAATCTCCCTTTTACAAATGAGGAAACTAGTTTCTAAGGTTCCAGAAGCCAGAGCTCTGTGACTTCAGAACTGGTGCTCCTCACAATTTGCTGCACTTCCAAGTGTTTAAAAATCAGAAAAAAGTAGAAAGGGCCCAGGGAGTCTCAAGTCCACAGGAACAAAGAAGAGGAGTCAACATTGAAGTCTTAGATCTTGTTTTCAGGAACATGATAAACAATGTCATTGTCCCTGGGATGATGCTGTGTGCTGTGTGCCCCCAGGTGGAGGTGAGCCCTTTGGAGAATGCCATCCAGGTGGTTGAGAATAAGAACCAGGAGCTGCGGGCCCTGATTAGCCAGTATCAGCACAAGCAGGTGCACGGCAACATCAACCTGCTCAGCATGTGCTTGAACGGCGTCATCGACGCAGCTGTCAATGGGGGCATCGCGCGCTACCAGGAGGTGAGCAGAGCCCTGGACCAAACCTTCACAGGCAGCCTGACCAGGAAGGCTGTTCCCAGGCTCCTCTTTTGGGGACTCCAGCCTCCTGTCCCCATGACAGCCTTCCCAGTTAGCCCTCTCCTTGTCATGACTCCTTTGGCATGGTTTCTGAGGAGGCCCAGTCTCCCAGCCACTCTTGATTTCTGTGCCTCAGCTCTCTGGTGGGGTCTTTTCTTCCTTTTCGTTTTCTGAACTCTAACAGCTGAGTAATCCATCTGATTATGGGAGGATGTTAGTGGCCTCCAAGAGGAACCCTGAAGCCTAACCAGCTCTTTGTAAGAAGTCTGGCCACTCCCAAGGCTTCCAGCTCTGCCTGCCCTGCCCAGGCTATCCAGGTCACATGAGGGACTGGGACAGGCATCCAGGCTTAGATGGCTTGGCCACCTTCAGTCCTTATTGGCCACAAAAAGCCTAGCTTTGATTGCAGAAGGTTCACACAAGCTAGGGGAGTGCTAATGTGTGCTCTTGGGACGAGGCAGCCCTGCTGCCTCTCTTAGGCATACCTACAGACTCACGTCTCCTGGGCCCTATCTAAGTTCGAGCCCTGGGAAGTCTGCCTGACTCAGCCTTTCCTTTCACAGGCCTTCTTTGACAAAGATTACATCACCAAGCACCCAGGAGATGCTGAGAAGATCACCCAGCTCAAAGAGCTCATGCAGGAGCAGGTGTGTGTGGCAGGGCCTGGAGGGTGGCAGCCCAGTGGGGAAGGCCACGCACCACAGAATGGACATGGTTCTCAGGCTGCTGCCTGGTTAACAGAGTTAACCTGTTACCCTAACAGGTCCATGTCCTTGGCGTCGGGCTGGCAGTACACGAGAAGTTTGTGCACCCAGAAATGCGGCCTCTGCATAAGAAACTGATTGATCAGTTCCAGATGATGCGGGCCAGCCTCTACCATGTAAGCTGATCCCCACCCTGCCCCCGCTGCATTAGGCTGAGGCATGTTAGTGCCTTCAGACCTGTGTGACAAACCAAAGAGGCCATGGCAGGGAGAAGCCATCCCCTGCCACACAGGGGCAGGAGACAGGACTGGATGCTGTATCCAGAGGACAGATGCTCTCCCTCAACTCCCCCGCTAAGCAAGAGTCAGATTGAAGGACAAAGAACATGTTTCAGGGCACCGTGCTAATGGGTAGAGGTTTCTATATGAGAAAGAAAAGAGCTAAAATTTATAGCCCACATGTAGGGATCTTTGGGGGGTATTTTTTATCCCAAGAGCCTAAAGAAATAAAGCATGGCCTGAGCCTTCTCTCTCTCCCCAGCTCTCTCCTTCCCCTTTCTCCCTCTTCCTCTTCCTCCCGTTTTCGCCCTCTTTCTCTTTTCCATCTCGTCATCCTTCTCCTCTAACTCCCTTTCTTCCCTCCTACCGTCTTCCACCCAACTTCCTCCAACATGTCTGGGAGCCAGGCTCATGTCAGAGATAGCTGAGGGTAGGCAGTTCTTTCATATTGGTTGCTCTTAGAGGGATCAAGCAGTTTGTGGGTCTGACCCAGACCCCAGAAGGTCTCCCTGACTTGGCCTGGCTCGTAGGCATCCATAGCAGGGATTGGCCCAAGGACTGATGCACACAGAGAGGGCCTCTATGCCAGGACAAATTGTCCTTGGCAGGTCTTGCAGGCGATGCTGACTGGTTAAGGATAGGGTTCAAGTGGTCCTGAGCCCCTGTTCACATACTCTCACCCTTGGCTGACTCCAGGTGTTTTCTAGAGAAACCTTTCTGCTAAACAGGCTGACAAGAAGTCTCAAGGGCTTTAGGCCCAGTTATCTTCTGCCACCTGGCACCCAAGCAAAACCCTCTCCTCGTTATGCAGGAATAGTGGGTAGAAGTGACAAGTAGGCAAGGAACTAAAGCTGTTCAGTGCTGAGCCAGGCTATCAGACCCAGAGTTCCCTTCAGGATGGCCACTGGCCACAGAGACCTGGAGGAGGCTGGGCCACCCAGACTCAGTGGGCCTGAACTGTTTTAGGCTCATCTGCTTTTTTGTTGGATGTTAGAGGTTTTGGTCACTCAATCCCTCTAACTCATTGCCGTCAAGTCGGATCCGACTCATAGTGACCCCTTCTTGGGTTTCTGAGGCGTTACTACTATGAAAGTAGATTATCCAATCATCCTTCCAAGGAGTGGTTGGTGGGTTTGAATTGCCAGGCTTTCTGGTTAGCAGTCAAGTGCCTTAGGTACTGTGCCACCAGAGCTCCCACAGTTCCTCTAGGTCCCCAGAATAGAAGGTAGCTAATTTCCACACAGGAGCTCTGGTAGCATAGTGCCTAAGGCACTTGACTGCTAACCAGCAGGCTAGTGGTTCAAACCCACCAGCCACTCCTCAGAAGGAAGGTTGAGCAATCTACTTCTGTAGTGATAACTGCCTCGGAAACCCAAGGAGCGGAAACTATGAGTCGGGTCCAACTCGATGGCACATAGCAACAACAATTTCCACACAAGTGTGGGCAGCCTGTAAAGTAAAGAGAGAGAGAAGCTTGTCTGCAATTTGGGAAGTGGGACATTTTCCAAAGAAAAGCCCACAGAGCCTGGAATTTTTCTCTTCTGTAATGATTACCCCATAGTACTTCAAGGTGAAACATGCAGAGAAAAGTCTTTTAGGTTTCCTCTTAAAAGGAAGGTGTCCTTTAAATAAAGAACCTGGGTAGTGTCCCTAAATCTGATGATCTCCCATACCACTGCACCTCCTGCTGGTAGTTAGGTGAGAGCTCAGTGCTTGGCTGGTCCCTGCTCAGTGCAAAATTCCTGTCACAGCAGGTGCCCCTGCCAGCTAGAGCCTGGCTGCCTGGAAGGTTCTCTCACATGCAGATGGTCAGGTCACTGTGGCACAAAGCGCACCATGCTCATCCGTGTACATCAAGGTCTCCAGTGTGCACACGTGGAGGCATCCTCTCTGGCTGCAGAAGCACATTTGAGCTACTGCTTCACACCAATTCAGAACCACCCCCCACACACACACCCAGTGCACTTAGGATTGTGAAAGACTTGAGGAAACCTGGACAGTTGGGCTTTGTTTTCCTTAGAGTTACAAACAGGAACACAAACCAACCTGTTGTCACCCAGGAGGGCCTAAGATCAGAAATTTCTGCCAAGAAGTATATGTACATTATAAGAATTTAATTATGCTAAAATAGAACTGTGTTCTTTTTCAGTTACTGACACCAGGATTTTGCAGCCTGTCTCCCTATAGATGGTACAATAGGTCACTCAGAGCTGGGCCATTTAGCAGTCCAGTAAAACTCAGTCCCAAGCGTTATATAAGAGGTGGCACTGACTCACAGCTGATAATCAGGCCTTCCCCTCTTGCTTCCCAAATCTTGCTCTACTTATTGTGCAGTGAGAGTTAACAGCATTCCTGTGAGTTCAGACCAACTTCATCTTTGGTGCATGGGGCCAGCTAGGGCCTTGTGGCTCTGGTGTGTGCTCCAGTGTGGTTAGGAGAGTGTTACAGTTGTGAAGGGAGGTTGCCCAAAAAAAGTTAGCAGTTTAGGTTCAGCCAACAATATACGATTACTAACTGATTGATTGATCTTTTCTTCCACCAGCCAGTTCTTCCCTCCTGCCCTTTAATTACGTATTTATTCTTTACTTTCTGATGACGGGACATTTACTTCTCAACAGGAATTTCCAAGTTTGGACAAGTTAAGCCCTGCATGCTCAGGCACCAGCACCCCACGGGGAAATGTTGTGGCGTCCCATAGTCCCATGAGCCCTGAGAGCATCAAGATGACCCACCGGCACAGGTACGGCCTCAGGGCCAGGGAGGGTCCCCTCTGCAGAGAGAAGTCTGACGATCAAGGGTCAGAGCACAGAAATCCCACATAGTGTTAGTGCATACTCACTCACATGTCCTCTTGCTGCACAGTAAACACTTACCCAGCTCCTGCCACAGGACACTGTCTCTGCACCCAGCCAGTCACTACCCTGGTGTCAGAGGGATATACATGGTTTTGGGGGAACACAGAGGAAGGGGAATCTGGGCTAACTATTGAAACATAAATACAAGTTTGCAAAGCAGAAAAGAGGTGAGATTAGGAAGGTGATGGAGCAAGATCCAGGCAAAGTAACATTTGCAGAAGCCTCGAGGTATGAGCAAGCCAGCCTGGTCAGCACTGTGCATAGAGCCAAGTGGCAGGCACTCAGGATTCTAGCGCCCGGGAGGGAGGCCAGGACCAGCTCTGAATGTGCCTTGTCTGTTCAGGCATTTCGACTTGAGGAAGGTTTTAAAGAAGAGAATAATAGGATGACACAGCCAGCCAAGTGTGGCTGCTCTGGACTCAGGAGTCCTGGCTTGCCTGGGGTCCACTTCAGAATGTTCAGTGGAGGCCAGGCCAGGGGGGAAGGCCAGTGAGGGGTGCCCCTCACTTAGGCTTGTTTTCCAGTGTGAGCAGCAAGTCAGCACAGAGTGGCCACTCAGTAATTGAGAAGGAACAAATGAATGCTATTGACTCAGGCGAGCTGTTGGCCAGCCCGTAGCTACAGATGTGGAAGGAAGCCCACAGATAGTTCATGGCCAGCTATTTTGCTACCTTCCCCTCTGACCTAGGAGCAGATCCCATCATGATGTGGACAAGGTGTGAACACTATCTCAGACCTGAGATCCTTGACCTGATTCAGCATGTCTCTCTTGCATTCCTCCTCAGTGAGAAGCTGCTGATGTTCTGGTGGGACTGAGTGGCCACATACCATTTAACTCTAGGCAGAGGCCACGCCAGTCCAACCATCATTGACCCTCCCAGAACAGGGGCCCCCAAGCAGCAGGGTGGGGTTCAGAACTGCTCTAGGCCCCAGATGGGTCTGGGCATTGGGTGGGAGCCCTCATACCATAGGTGGCTGGGGCTGAGAATGACTTATTCACCCATTCCCTTTCACTGTCCCCCACCACCCAGCATGATTTCTCAGCTGACTCCTCACTGTTTCCAAATCTTACTTGCAGCCCCATGAACTTGATGGGCACAGGCCGCCATTCATCATCTTCCCTCTCCTCACACACATCTAGCGAAGCAGGAAACATGGTGATGCTGGGCGACAGCGCCATCGGTGAGGCTCCTGAGGACCTGTACCACCACATGCAGGTACGAAGCTGTCCAAGGAAATGAGCCAGGGCACCAGGCCGGGAGGACTCGCTCTTCTGCTGGCTGCTCTGGTCTGTGAGTACTGCCTAGTACTCCAGTCCCTGAATTCAGAACAATCTCTATCAGAGCTAGCAAACCTTTACTCCATCCCAAGTCTCAGTTGCCAGGCCTGATATCCTGAGAGGGAAACCCAGCTTCAGTCCTGGCTGCTCTCAGAGATCCCTTGGGAAAGATCCTCTGCTATATTGCCCTCTTGCCTGGCATTCTTAATAGCTGAGCCCTGCCTCCTCCACAGGCACCATCAGGGCCCACTTAGCAGCCATGCTTCATGTGGGTGAGGTGGGTGAGCACCAGCCTGGCCTCCATCAGGGCCCAGGGTGCAGTGTCAGGCAGCAGGTCTGGGCACCTCAGAGAATGAAGAAGCCAACTCTGGCCCAACCCTACACTCTTGGCCACTCAGACCTCTGTCCTGCTGATTCTTCTCCCTTTACAGCTCACATATCCCAACCCCAGGTACCAGGGCTCAGTCACCAACGTGTCTGTTCTGTCCTCGTCCCAGGCAAGCCCGTCTTCCTCCAGCCTGAGTTCTACTCACTCAGCACCATCCCAGATGATTACCTCTGCCCCTCCCAGTGCCCGAGGTAAGTATGGCAGGGTGCAGGTTGCAGGAGGGAAAGGAAATGGCTTTGTGAGCCCCACTCATCCCCTTCTTTTCTGTGGCTGTACCTTTGAGGGTGGCCCATGACTTAGAGAATGCTCACCTGTGCTTTCAATACTAAGGACTCCAGAGTCCCTGCCTCCAGATCTCACTCTGGCTGGCTTCAGGCCCTGCTCTGAGCAGTGGTCACAGTCCTGCTGCTGAGGTAGCCATCTCCACCTCAGTAAGAGAACACACAAGCTGGGAGAAAGCTGACTTCTTTTTCCCATTGAAATGTTTGCAAGAATAAAGATCAAAGTTGAGACAAGAGTGAATCGTTTGTCTTGAGGAATCAAGTATGATGACAAAGTATAAAAAGCAAATTTGAAGCCTAAAATTAACCCCGAAAAATATGAATCTAAAACAATAACAACAACCAAAACCACTTTCTTCAGTTGAGAAAGGCTTAATCAGGAGAGCTGGCTCTGCAAGAAACTCTTTACTTTGCCAATTACTGCTTGATTTCTTATTCAGTTGAATAGATACTGTTCTCTGAGAGCTGGCCTCTTTTTCACATTCTGATCCTAGTTCCTGCAGTGAAATTTGATTCTCTGCCCCTTTAGATAGAAACACATGGAGTGGAATGGAAATTAGCCCTGGTGACTAGGTTCTAGTGCTTCCCAGGGTGATCTCTGCAGGATAGTAGCAGCAGAGAGTGGTCTGAGCTTGCCAGCCACTGGCCATTGTGTCCATCATTGTAAAGACAAAGAGAGATATCACAAACTTATGAGTTGGAGGGTCATTAGAGGAAAATAGCCCCTTTTACAAAGCACATACACCTACAAGCCCCACAGTGGACTGATGAAGAGAATGGGGGTAGTGTGGCATGGTGGGGAGATGCAGTGGCCACCTGAGAAAAGCCTCGGCAGAGGATGGAGGAAAGAGGGGTCAAGTTGCAACAGGTGCAATCACAGACTCTTGCCTGAAGGATCCAGCCCAATCCTCATTTCCCTGCCAGGAATAGGTCCAGTGAAAGAGATTTAAGGCCACGTAGCCAGTCCGTGGCTAAGTTGGATTTGGAGCACAGGGCTTTCCACTCACCAGCCCACAGTCTGATGACCATTCCGTTTCCCATGCGGCCTTCCTGCATGGACGGTGGCATTCAGAAAAGGGAAACCAACATTTGGGAGCAGGTATTTCTAGCAAAAGGTTAAAGAAGACAGATGAACCAACAAATCGGTACATGCTGAAGATGTGTCAATATGTAAAGGCTGGAAACATAGAGAAGGAACTGTGATTTGTGTAAGAAAGATGGCTTTGGAAATAAAAAGGAAGGTGTTCCTGAGGAGTTAGCCATGAAGGCTATAGTAGAGGTCAGTTTGCAACGTCTTGAGGTAAATGCTCCTGAATAGAGCTGCAGAAACTGACTTTGTAATCCATCTGTTTTATTTTCCTAACCCAACGACTCTCCAAGATATGTTCAGCCATATTGATGCCTTTGTCTGAGTATTCTTACTGAAGACATCTCTGAATTATGATTACTGATAAAGACAGAAGGCAGCAAAGATGGACATTTTAGCTAAATCCCACTCTGACACTTCTTAGGTGCTTTCTCTAGGTTGTGCCTGGTACTCAGTGCCCTGGACAGAACAAAGATGAGGAACAAGCAGGCCCTGCTGTCAGGGACCTCATAGACTGCTGTTACCACCTTTCTTCTTCCTGCTAACCGTTTACTAATTTCTCCACTATCAAACTTTGACTGAGCGCCCTATGAAGAATCCTTGTGGCTCCTGCCTCAGGAAGCACTACATCAAAATTGAATAGAGAGAAATTATTTTGTCCTGGTTTGGAAGCAACCCCTCTCTTTCAGATGACATGGCTAACGGCCCTTCTGGTTGTCTGTTGCTGCATAATAAACCACCCAAAAACTTAGTGGTTTCAAGCAACAATTTATTATCATCTCTCACTGTCCTGTAGCTTAACAAGGCTCACTGAGTGTTTCTCACTTGGAGTTTCATGAGATTGTAGGCATATGTCAGTTGAGGCCAGAAACATCTAAAGGCTCAGTTGAGGTGATGTTCAAGAGAGCTCACTCACATGGCTTGGAGTTAAGGAGCTGTCAGGCAGGAGTTCAGCGGGGACTGTCAACCTGAGCACCTGCATGTGGCCTTTCCATGTGTCTTGGGCTTCTCACAGCATGGCAGCTGATTTTCCTCAGAGCAAGCATTCCAAGAGATGCTGGAAGTCTCAGAATGTCCCTTTTTCCACATTCTATTGGCTACTCAGTCTGCCACTAAGGCCAAGCCACGTTCCAGGGAGGGGAACAAGAATCTGCTTTATGATGAGACAAATGGCGTATACTTTTTGGGAGGGAAGACATCGATGATCTCCATCTTTGGAGACAACCTACCCAGTGGTCAGTCTCCAAAATGCCATGTAGAGGAAGGCTGAGAGAAGTCCCTTCCCTTTCTGGGGTAGGCATTCAGTGCAAACGTGAACAAAATGGTTAAATAGAACTGGGCCTAGAGCAGGGAAGAAAGTAAGAAGGAGCAGAAAGTCACTTACAGACCACAACATCCATGTAATTCAAGTGCAAGCCCATCTGGAGGAAGCTGGGGGCCCGACATCTGTCTATCAAGCACAACGTTAGGCCCTATGAGAGAAGACAGGATACTGTGACCCAGCATCACAGAGAAGAACTGATGTTTTCAGATCAATGTGGTTGACACAGTAGTTGAAGTTCTAGAGGCACAGAGGGAGGAGCCATCCACTCTTGGAGTTTGAGGTGTGGTATTAACATGTGAGGGAGCTCTGGTGACATAGTGCCTAAGGCATTTGACTGCTAACCAGAAGGCTGGTGGTTCAAACCCAGCAGCCACTCCTCGGAAGGAAGGTTGGTCAATCTACTTCCGTAGTAATACAGCCTTGAAAACCCAAAGAGGGGTCGTTATGAGTTGGATCTGACTCCACAGCAGTGGTTGCCTTGCCTTTTTATTAACATGTGAAGGGGAGGCTTTCATGGAAAATGTGATCTGGAGAGGAGTCCTTTGCATCGGAGTCACTTCCTCCACTCCCAGGAGTGGCCATGAGACCAGTGTCCTTCCTTGTCATCCCCATTGACACTCTGCTATGTATGGGTCCTTTTGTTTTGGAAAACTCGAGATAAAGGGCCAGCAAGGCTCAATCTAAACTCTTGTAGGTCAGTAGCTCCCTCTGGTGGTCAAAAAGCTAATTAAACCCAAAACTAAAAAGAACCAAACTCACTGCCATTGAGTATGATCCGACACATAGCAACCCCTCCTTGGGTTTCCGAGGAGGTATCACTACGGAAGTAGATTGCCCAGTCTGCCTTCCGAGGAGTGGCTGATGGGCTTGAACTGCTAGCCTTCTGGTTAGCAGTCAAATGCCTTAGACACTACGTCACCAGAGCTCCCAATTAAACACAAGGTTGGTTGTTTTTAATTATGATATGGGTGAAAGTTTACAGCGCAAACTGGTTTTCCACTCAACAGTTCATACACATTTTGTTTGTGACATTGATTGGAATCACCACAATGGAATAGCACTCAGAAACAATGGATTTTGGATGATGCTGCTGGGTTAGCTCAGTCATGCCAGGGCTCAGACTCCCTGGAGTTTACTGGCCAACTCAAGCAGTTCAAAAGTCCTGTGAACACAGCCATGTGATCTCAGCCTATACAACTATGAAACCAGAAGAACAAGATGGTGCCCAGCTACCACTGTCAACCACTCGGAGGGAGATCTATAAAGGACATCCTGGGTAGAGTGGAAGAGCAATGTGGAACAAAACTCAAAATCATTTGGAAAACAAAAAGGGGGACCAGGTTTGCTGGTCTGATAGAGCCTGATGGAACCACTGAGACTATGGCCCCTACCTGCCCTTCAGGTCTGGAATTGAACCCACACCTGTGGCTTCCAGCCAAACAAAAGACAGGCATATGAGGTGAACATTTACACTAGGTAGATACACTCCTTGGAGAGAACAATCATGGGAGAATAGAAGGGCTCCGTACGCACAGGAACATAGCCTAGGGGGCAGGAGTACTTGGAGGGAAAGACACAGGGAAGAGGTAACTATGGGGAGGAAGTGTGGGGAGCTGTTGCATTGTGGGAAATTGTAGTCAATGTCATGAGACAAAGTGTATGTGAACTGCTGTATGGAAAGTGAATTTGCTCTGGAAGCTTTCACCCAAATCACAATTAAAAAAAAAAAAAAAGTCCTGTGAACACAGAAGATGTTTACATGTGTTCGTGAAAAGTAGCCATAAAAAAAAAAAAAAAAAAGCAGCAGCAGCAGTCATCATCTTCTCTTTTCATGGCTTTCATGGGATTGGCTGCATGACAGGACAGAGGCTAGTGGGAAGGAAGTGAAGTAGTGGAGTTGGAAAACTTAGTGGTAGCTCAAAATAACCGATGTTGAGAGGTCTCTACAACATGGATACTAATCCTCAGTGGCGCCCCTGGGCCTCAGCTGGGGTGTGCAAGCTGCGATCCCTCCATTAGATGGTGGAGTCCCTCCATCAGTGTCCAACATGCATCAGGATATTGACTATACAGATCTGTGTTGGGCTTGTGAGCCAGGCGTGAACTCCATGAGGGAAGAGACCACAGCCAATCTGAGCAAGGCGGCATACCAGGTTCCAGCCATATGCTGGTTGGCATGGGCATTAAACAGGAGTTTGACATAAATGAACTGTGTCTCTGTGCATGCTAAGCAGAGGGTAGCCCTACCCAGAGATGTGGCAGAGCTCAGGGAACAGTCTGAGTTCCTGCTGAGAAAGCACTATAGAAATCAGTGGGATTAGAAGCTATTCTCTCTTTTTCTTTATGTGCTCATCTTCTTTAGTCCCCTTAGAGTATAAGTTCTAAAAGAGAACATTGTTGTTGTTGTTAAGTGCCGTCGAGTCGTTTCCGACTCATAGTGACCCCATGCACAGCAGAACGAAACACTGCCCGATCCCGCGCCAGCCCCACAATCCCTGCTATACTTGATCCCATCATCGCAGCCACCGTATCAATCCATCTCGTTGAAGGCCTCCCCCTCTTTTGTCAACCCTCCACCCTACCAAGCATGACATCCTTCTCCAGGGAATGGTCCCTTCTTACAACATGACCAAAATACGTGAGACGAAGTCTGGCCATTCTTGCTTCCAAGAAGCATTCTGGCTGCACTTCCTCCAGGACAGATCTGTTAGTTCTTTTAGCAGTCCATGGTACTTTCAGCATTCTCCGCCAGCACCACAACTCAAAAGCATCAACTCTTCTTCGGTCTTCCTTATTCATTGTCCAGCTCTCACATGCATACCAGGCGATTGGAAATATCATGGCTTGTGTCAGGCACACCTTAGTCCTCAATGAGATATCCTTGCTCCTCAGCACTTGAAACAGTTCCTTCGCAGTTGACTTTCCCAATGCTACACGTTGTCTAATGTCCTGACTGCTGCTTCCGTTGGCATCGATTGTAGAACCAAGCAACGTGAATTCCTTGACAACCTCAATCTTCTCTCCATTTATTGTGATGCTGCTCATTGGTCCAGTTGTGAGGATTTTTGTTTTCTTTATGTTGAGATGTAATCCATACTGCAGACTGTATTCTTCAACCTTCATCAGTAGGTGCCTTAAGTCATCCTCACTTTCAGCAAGCAAAGTTGTATCATCTGCATATCTCAGGTTGTTAATGATTCTTCCTCCAATCCTGATACCACGTTTTTCTTCATATAGTCCAGCTTCTCAGATTATTTGCTCAGCATACAGATTGAATAAGTGTGGAGACAGAATACAACCCTGACGCACTCCCTTCTTGATTTTAAACCATGTAGTGTCCCCTTGTTCTGTTCTAACGACAGCCTCCTGGTCAAGGTACAGATTCCTCATGAGTACAATCAAGTGCTCAGGGATTCCCATTCTTCTCAATGTTGTCCATAATTTGTCATGATCCACACAATCAAATGCCTTTGCATAGTCAATAAAACACAAGTAAACATTTTTCTGGTATTCCCTGCCTTGAGCCAAGATCCATCTGACAACAGCTATGATATCCTTTGTTCCACGTCCTCTTCTGAATCCAACTTGAACCTCTGGAAGTTCTCTGTCAATATACTGCTGCAAACGTTTCTGAATAGAGAACATTGAAATTAGTAAATTCACCAAATAGTAGCAATTCAGACCCAGTGTGTTAAAAATTTTACTTTAATCATTCTTTTAACAGTAAAACACATTTTCAAATGTCTTAAAGCAAGCCCTGAGGTTCCACAAACAGAACCATTCAGACTAGCTGTGGAGGAAGTTACATAAATAATAATTTCATTACTGGCATTTCTTACTCTGACTTCTTCAAAGTATTTAAGCCTCATATTCTTGGACCAAAATGAGTACAAGAAGAATTTCTCAAGGACACTTGGGGAAAACTGGCTGAAGAAGACCCCTTTTTTTTTTAGCTGTGCCTTGACTGGGCCTACATCACATATTCAAAGGAAAGCTCCAGAGACATCGTGGGTGTTGGGGACCCAGAACCTCCAGGGGCTACAGATTTACCTCTCAGCTGGAGCCTGTGGGCTGGACTTGACCCTACAGCTTCAGTCAGGCCGTACCACAGAGCAGACTTCTGAGCACTTGAGCTAGCCAAGGGCTGCCCCTGGATAAATAGAGGACAGTGCGTTCCAGATGGTCCTTCTGTGAGGGGTCTAGATACCCCTACTGGTGTCTGGCATAATGAATGGTACACATTTGGAAGGCCTTCCAGATTACCCATTTCCCCAGAAAAGCCAGCAAGTTATTCTTACTGCTTCCGTGGAAGTTCCCCTCAAGATCAGGTCCACGGTCTGCATCAATGGAGAGTTGGCCAACCCACATCTGGCATGGTCTGGTGTCCATAACAGCCCCTAAGAGCAGAGGAGAGGACCATCTCACAGAAGGAAGAACCTGAACCAAGTCAACTGAAGAGCCTGGGTTAAAGTTTCTGTGACTCCCAGATCAGCTCCATGACCCCTGAGTTCACTGAAGACAGCAAGTCTAAGAGCAAAAAACCTGAGAGACCCCCTCTGTGCTAGGCTCTGATTCCAGGGCTACAGCAGTAGGGCAGCTAGGAAGGCAGAGGCCAGCTGTCAGGGGCCTGGTTCCTGGGAGGGAGAAGCCTCTGGGAAGAGAGGGTCGTAGAGGGTCAGCTGAGAACAGGGCTAATGGTGTCAGGACATAAGGTGAGTACGTGGAGACAACATGTCATGTAAGAACTATGTGACTGTTACCTGAATGTCTCTGTCTCTGTGTGATAGCTCCATTATAAGCTGGCCTGGGCACCTGAGAGAGCCCAGCATCCAGGCCATACCCATCTCCTGAGAGTGCTGGGCTCAGCAGGCCTCTAGGGTCCTGAACCCAGTGCTCTGTTCGGCCTCTGAGCATGGTGAGGGGGCTCAGTCAGTGAGTCTGCAGTGCCCCAGCGTGCAGTATGTCTGCCTTGGCTGGGACACCAGGTGCTACCACTGCCACCATCTAACCACCAGGCTCTGCTTCATTCCTGCTGTGCTTGCTGACCTCATCTCACTCCAACTGTAAGGGGACACCTACTCCACTTCCTTGGCCCAAGAATGCTTGCCCACTGGGCCCTCCATCTGTGGCTCGTCATCTGTGCGTGATTGTTCTCACTTGGTTACAGGCTCTCCCTCTCTGCCAGATAAGTACCGTCACACCCGAGAAATGATGTTGCTGCTGCCCACACACCGGGACCGCCCAAGCAGTGCCATGTATCCTGCAGCCATCCTGGAGAATGGACAGGTACTGGATCACCCTGTCAACTGCTCTCTGATGCAAGTGTGTTGCCCTGGCTTTTCCTCATTGCACTTGTGAGATCCTCGTCATTATCCTAAGTGATTCCCCCATTCTGCCATAAGATCCCTCAAGAGGCTGCTGGGCTTCTAGGTGGGAATGGCAGTGAACTTGAGGACCAGCAGTCCACACAAAGCACAGGTGTGGGTAGTATAGCAGCAGAGTTAGAACGACCATTGCTTGTGTGGGCATCTGTCCTTATGGGCAACCTCCTAGGCTCCTCATGCCTAAACAGTCTGGCAGAAAACACTGGTTCTTTGCAGCTTGTCCCAAGAAGAAAGTGGTGGACATGGGTCTAGAGGATGTGCTTCCTTCCTGTGTGTGTGAGGAGCACCTCACTGGGGCAAGCGCTGCCCTTCCTATCCAACCACTCACCCAAAACCCTCACTACCTGCTGGGGCTGCACGCCACCATCATTTGCATAGCCCTCTAAATATTCTGCCTGGGAGGCTTGAGCAAAAAGCTCCAGGGATTAACTCCCTCCCCTGTCCAATCTGCCCCTGTGCCTCCATCAGAATCCAAGAAAATCATCTCCAAGCAACTGTTATCCAGCCCTGGAGTGCCGGGAGTTTCTTGATGGTACCTCTCTGTGTATTAAGCCCTGCCAGACTGAGGGAGCAGGTCTGCGTGGCAGCTGCCTATTAGAACAGGTCCTGTCTGTAACTCTAGGCTTGGGTGTTCCCTTTTCCCCTGCTGTCTGCTAATGTGGGGCTATGTAGAGGCCTCTCTAGGAGACTAAATCTGCCAGTGCTCTTGAGCGAACCAAACCAAACTCACTGATACTGAGTCCATTCTGACTCATAGGAACCCCCACTGGGTTTCTAAAACTGTAGATCTTTACAGGAGTAGGCCTTTCTTCCACAGAGCAGCTGGTAGGTTTGAATCACTGACCTTTTGGTTAGAAGCCAAAATGCCTTAACCACTACACCACCAGAGTTCCTTGCTCATGAGTGAAGGGGCTCCCCAAAACCTTTATGCCAGTCGGTCTCCGTGGCAGACAGTTGGACAGTCTCAGGTACCTATGTCCTCTTCCTTGGGCCCTGCACAGGGCACTGCAGGGTGTGTCACAGAGGCTATGAGTACACATGGCAGCTCTCACAGCAAGACCCTCATGGACCATCTCCCCTAAGACTGGCATAGAGCTCACGAACCATCTCAAGCATGACCCATAGCACTGCTTTGATTTACCCATCTGATCCTTAGCATGCCCCTGCTCCTAGGGTCCACCTGTGCTTCCCAAGACAGAACATGTCGTTTTTATCCTCTTTTATGTTTGTCTCCTTCCCTCAGCTGCCAAATTTCCAGCGGGCACTGTTCCAGCAAGTGGTTGGACCCTGCAAACCCTGCAGTGATCCCAATCTGTCTGTGGCTGAAAAAGGTATTGTTTCTCACCCCTTCTCTCCCCAAGGTGTGTTCTCCTATGTCTATCCCCAACCCGAGGGTCTAACTCTTGTCCCTGAGCACCAGCTGGCCAAGGCTGAGCCATATTCCAATGTTGGGCTCTATCTATCCGTGCAGAGTCCTGACCAATTCCTGTGCTCACTGTTTAACCTGCATCTGGCTTGGTGCTAGGCTTGGATCTCACTATTTTGTCTGGATCTCTCCCTGCACAGGGCCCACATTCAGAAAGGCCTCAGTTGCCACCTACCCTGAGCTCAAATTTATGGAAATAGAGGCTGCTATGTGAAAACTGTGGAACCTACTCCCCTGGGCAGCAGACCCTGTGGCTCCTTTGGTCCCTAAGGGACCTCTCCTTGGAGCTCAGAACAGGGTCAAGTGAGCCCAAGACAAATGGGGAGGACAGGCTGTGATAAAGTGAATTTCCAAAGACAGTCCTCTCCAACTGAAGCCCTGGGTCCAGTCCTCCTATAGCCACTCTAGCCAGCAGCTGCTGTGAATCCATCTTATGCATTGCAAGGCCATCAACCACATTACAAAACGGGGCAGTCTTTCTTAGAACAATGGCTCTTTCAATTGGACAATTTTCCTCTGTGTTCTGCTCCTACAAGCTGATGGCAGAACCAGGCTCTGACCTGTATGAGCCTGACCTGAAGCCCTACATGTGGAGACCTGAGTTAATTTCAACACAGGACAATACCTAAATGAAAACTGAACTGACCCTTCCTGCTGTGCAGAACCTGACCCTCTATTTCCCCATAGGTTCCCTTCCAGTCCTACTGGAGTTTAGGGCACACTCAGGCCTCACCAACACAGCCTGCTGTCCCCTAGTCCATTGGAAAATGTCTCTCCTAAGTTGTCATCGCACCTCCCCACCAAGTACTGCCTGCTGTCCACACTGTCATTGTTCCTCCCTTGCTCATCATGGAGGACACACCTCTGTGTCCTCTTTAAGGAGTGCCTGGTGAGCATTGGTGCCAGCTGCTCAGCCACAGAGGCCTGGAGATTCGGGCTGAAGATGCCTTCCTAGACTCAAAACTGTACATCCTGAAAACATGCAGCTTACTTGGACTCTTGTACCTGTGACCCAAAACCAAGCATCCTTTTGGCCTCAAGGGCCAGTGGCCTTTCTCTGCCTGACATGTGGAGCATCTTCAGAACTAGCCAAGAGCCCATATGGGCTCAGAGCTGAGGATGAGTGCTGATAGAGACCAGGACCCTACCCCAGTTGGACACAGAAGAGCTCCAGGCTTCCACCAGGCTGCAGCAAGAAGCTGGACACGCCCATGCCCAGGTGTGAGGACCAAAGGGGTTGTCTCAGAACACAGGCTGAGCCCAGACCAAGCATGTCCACACCAAAAGGCCACACTGAGTGGACAGCAAATTAGACTTGTGCCCAGTAGGAACACGTAGGCCAGGGTGCTAACCTCCTAAGTCTCTACCTGGATCTTCCCATGAGGACTCTACCTCTTCACTTGCAGGTATCTCTCTTTGCCAGGCAATGACTGGCAGACAGGCAAACTTGCCCTCGGGGCTGTGGGCTGTTCACTGGGGACCCAGGCTAGTCTTGAGCAGCTGTTAACACTGAGAGAGGGAGAAACATATGGACAGGGCACAGCAGGGGTTGCCCTTCTTCTCCCAGGACAAGTTACTCCATCTCGAGAATCTTCACAGGTCCCAATGCTACATGGCAAAGGTCCACTGGTTGCAAACACTGGGCTGTAGTGTGAGTTTGATGGTTTCTGGTTTGTATGAAGTGGCTCAGTTAGACACCCTTTTATAAACTGTTGCAGCCTTAGCCTTCTTCCCCAACAGGCTTCAGCCCTCAGGTTCCCTGGAGCCCTTGTGGGTGAGACTTTGTAGCACTGCAATTCTTCCAGTGCATCTGAGATCTTGGACTATCTAAGCTCTTTGGGGAAACTGCTCAGACCCTTCTCCAACCTGCCCATTCCCTGAGATTTGGTGGCTTTTTGTGGGGAGTGCCTCAGTGCAGAGGACCCAGAAGCTCACATGGTGGAGAGCCTGGACAAGAATGGGCTTCAGTTCTTGGGGTGGCTTAGGCTCTCTGAAGAGGCCATCTGCTGGAGCCCACCTGCTGCTCATCAGAGATTGAGAGTTCTTTCCTCCTGTCAGGTGACAGCTGAGTATCAGCTGCCTCCTGCCACCAGCCATACCATGAGACTGAGCAATCCTCCTTAGAACAGTGTTTAGATAGTTGGGTTTTACCCTGTGTTCTGCTGCAAGCCCATGCCAGTTCCTGACCAATGAAAAGGAGGAGGGTGGATGTCACCTGTTTATCCCTAGGCCACCATGGGCCCAGCCCCTCCTAACACCATCCTCCTTGAAGGCCAGACCTCAGCTCCTTCCCTTCCAGAACCTCCTAGGCCTCATCAGGCCCTGGCATTCCCCACTCAGTGCCAGACAGAAAGAACCCAAACCCTGGCCTCCTCAGGGTCACTTTAGCTACAACTTTGTGTTAGAACAAAGCCAGCAGCTAGGCACCTAGATTGTGAGCTTTCTCCCTGCTTCTGACTGCCTAGCAGAGGAAAGACATGTTTCTTCTTGGTGGTGTTTTTCCTCTAGGAGTTGGGCGACAGAAATCACATGTCCCCTGCTGCTCCTGCACAGTGGCACCCTCAGACCCCAATAGGCCAGCCATTCCTGTTCTTTCTCCTCCTGTAAAGTTGTTCATCCCAACTGGGGCTGAGGGGCCAGTGTTGGCCACTGGACTCCTCCGTTAGCAAAGATGGCACTCTGTGCTCCCCTTTGCCCAGAAGTCACTCTGTCCTGCATCCATGGCATGTAGGTGCCATGAACTGGGCCTCTCTGGATGCCCAAAAAATACATGGGTTCCTGAGCCCTCCCCTTTCCAGGAAGCAGTGGGGCAGAGGGTCCATCCGGACCTCGATTGCAACCCCGGGGCTTTATATACTTTCCTCTAGTGGGTACACTGAACACCAGTCGTTGCCTAGAAAAACTTCCTGTGCATCTCAACCCCAGCCAGTAGATGTGGGAACGATGGAGATGAATCAAGCTTCTCCATCACTACAGGCCTTTTGTAGGGCCCAATGTGGAGGGCAGCTCCTGGCCATGCACCCAACTCTGGAAGGAGGCAGTCTCTGCCTCCATCCCCCTACCCCAACCATCCTCCTCCCCACTTTTCCCCCTGGGTCTGAGCAATAGAGAGCACTGGCTCTTGACTTTGGTCAGCTGCTCTCTGGCTCATACTCTCTACATATTCTCTGGGTCTCTTCGTCTGTTCTGCTCACCTAGCCCCGCTGCCCCTCTCCTGTTTCCTCTTCTCTCCTCTCCTTTCCTACTGGCGAGTCCTGGAGACTGCAGCTGTTCACCCCACACCACACTTTCTCTTAGCTTGCCTCATCCTGAACACTCGTCAGACATCAGCTCACTCTGTCTGTTGCCATTCTTCTTGAGCTGCTGCCGTCCCTGGCCACTCTCCTGTCCTTGGGCCACAGTGCCTTGCTTGGCCAGTGTTTTTTAGTTCCAGAGGCTGGCCTGCCAATTCCACGTGTGCTGGGTACATGGTGTGCACCTGAAGAAGCCACAGGCTTGGGATGGGCTTCCCAGGAAGTAACCTCCATTCTTCGTGCCGTCTGTTTCCACCCTTCAGTGGTGCCAGCAGCCCCCAGCAGCTGGAGCCTGGATAGCGGAGCCCGAGAGGCCCAGCCTTTCCTGTCTGCCCATGTGGGGTGCATCCTGGCCCCCCCAGTGCCTCCCCGAAGCCTGCCACATGGTAAGGAGACCTCCAGTGGGTCCCCCAGATAGCCTCTGGTCTCAGACTCTGCTCAGGGGCAAGGGCGGCAGCCATGCAGGCTGAGAAGATGGGCCCTTCTCTGGGCTGACTCAGCCAAGGAACACACATCCCCACCACAGGAAGCATCCTGCTGGGCTCTGGGGTCAGTGAGGTTTCTGAGTACCGCAGGTTAGCTCGGCAAGGACATCCTAACCTGAGACTTCAGGGAGGCCGAAGACCGTGGAAATGATGACTGTGCCAGGCCCGATGCTCACCAGCAGTCTGTCATCACCCAGCAACAGGCTGAGGAGCTGCCACAGGCTCTGATGCACTCAGACTTCGTGACCTCCTGTGTTAATGGGTGTCTTTTATCCCAGCAGCTTACCTTCTGGAGAACTTCAACGTAAAGAGAGGTTTTTCTATGGCCCTTTATGCTGAGGCGTTCCCAGGAGACTATCCCAGGCCTGCCCAGTTGGCCCAGCAAGATGATGTTGGCGTGCAGCCCAAGAGCCCGCAGCCAAGGGTCCCCAGTTGAGGTGCTGGTTCTGTTCCCTTTGCAGGTCATTACCTACATTTTGATGCCTTCCATCACCCCCTGGGTGACACCCCCCCTGCCCTCCCTGCCCGGACCCTTCGAAAGGTAATGTACTGACGTGACGGTCCCACAGGCTTAAGATAATTCATCTCATTTGGAGGTCTACAGGAGGGGCCTTAACCCTCTTCTCCCCCGCTGGTCCTCTGTCCCTGAGGGCCCAGCCTGGCAGAAAGTTGGGATGACCCCTGTACCCTCTTTGCAACACCTTCTTTCCCTGTGATGGCAGCAGGGGGTCAGAAGCCCCCCACACACACACACAGCAGCACACGGGACATAGAATGTGTAGGCAGCCAATGTGGGAAGCCCAGGGACTCTTGGCCAGCAGCACACGGCAAACACACACTGTGGCAGATCATAGAACGTAGAAGCATCATACAACACAGTTCTGTGAGAGAAAACCTTAAATTCTGCCTGTTACATTTTTCTGCAAACTGGAAAAGACTGCCTCTTACAGATTTTATCAGCAGAATGCATCCATCTGGCTCACCAGAGTTCTTTCTGCCCTCCCCAGCAGGCCTGACGACCAACCAACCCTTCCATCAGGACCCCAGGACCCCAGCTAGTAGCCTGGGAGCTGCCCAGTAGCCAGGGCAGGGCCATTTTTCAGCCCTTAGCACATGATTCCAGGCCTCCACTGGCTTGCTGGGTGGTGGAAGTGGGGTAGTAGGTCACTGCTGAAGAAATCCCCTGTTGATGAGGGTTATTTTAAAGTTCATTAATAAGCAGACTTCTGCTCTTCCCTTCACATGGGGGACCAGCCAGCCTGTCTGCAGAGGGGTATTCTAACATGCCCACCCTTTCCTTCACACAGTCTCCTCTCCACCCTATCCCGGCCTCCCCCACAAGCCCCCAGTCGGGCCTGGACGGAAGCAACTCGACGCTGTCCGGCAGTGCCAGCAGCGGCGTGTCCTCCTTGAGCGAGAGTAACTTTGGGCACTCCTCGGAGGCCCCACCTCGTACCGACACCGTGGACTCCATGCCCAGCCAGGCGTGGAATGCCGATGAAGATCTCGAGCCATCCTACCTCCCCGTCCACTACAGCCTCTCCGAGTCCACCGTCCTGGACTCCATCAAGGCCCAGCCATGCCGAAGCCACTCAGCCCCGGGGTGCGTCATCCCTCAGGATCCCATGGACCCACCTGCGCTGCCGCCCAAGCCCTACCACCCCCGCCTGCCAGCCCTGGAGCATGACGAAGGCGTCCTGCTTCGCGAAGAGGCGGAGAGGCCCCGGGGCTTGCACCGCAAGGCCTCAATGCCGCCTGGGAGCAGCAAGGAGGAGCAGGCACGCATGGCCTGGGAGCACGGCCGAGGGGAACAGTGAGGGGCGGGGAGGCGGCTGGGACGCCGCCCTCAGTGAGCAGCTTGCCCAACCACTCCAGGTCTGAAAATCAAGTCCGCTGCTGCCCCTTCACCCCAGGGAGCCAGAGAGGCCTGGCACTCAGGAGAGAACCACCCTGTCTCCGTTCTACTGCCGTGAACTCGTGTGTTGCCATGTACAGAGGCCGCAGCAGCATGAGGGTTGTGGCTTCTCTTTTTATTTCATTTTCTACATTTCCATTTCTATGGGTTTTCCTTTCCTTCCTTTGTGCAGTAGATGCTTTCTTCCTCCTGCAGTTTCAGACATGGAGCTATATGGAGATATAGCACAGACTGAATCATTTTGCAGCACTGCAGAGCCCAGGGCTAGAGCCCAGGCCGGCCCTCCAGGGTGGAGATGCACAGAAGAATGGAAATTGCACTAGGGATCTCTTTCTTTGCTGTGTGGACAGAAAAGCTCATGGTTGCATTCAGGGATTGCTAAGACTGCATGGACTACATGGCACAGGTGGATGAGGGGCTACAAGCTGTTTTGCACAAATGCCTGCCTGCCTGACCACTCTTCCATCCAGGAGTGTGCAGCCGAGGGGCTTGCCAGCCAACCTGCCAGCCTAGGCGTGTGACCTGGCTCAGCTGCACGCCTGGGGCACATTGCCAGGCTTCCATGGGCCAACCCTGCCTCCTCCTCCACCTTGGATTTTTCTCTCCATCACTTTGAGTTTTGACCATTTGCTCCCTACTCTCAATACACCTCATACCCACAGGAGCCCCCATGATGAATGGATCTGCAAGGGCAGCTTCCACCCTCTGGGCGCTGAGGGCATTGTGGAAGACGGAGGGGCTCCCCCAACCATCTTCCGGGGAGAGCTGGGTCCCACCTCAGGGCCCAAGAGGCCACATATTGAGGGCCAAGCTGGTGTAGGAGTGAAGCTGGGGTGTTGCAAAGGCCAGATCCCCTGAGCTTTCAGAAGTGGTCAGAATGCCTGTCACCCAGCTCCACAATCAGGGATTTTCAGCACTACCTCCGAGCCATGGGGCCGGCTGCCCAGCCAGGCTTCCAGGCCTGAGGACATGTAGTCAGGTACAGCAAGCTCCTGGATGACTCGGGGTAGTAAGCTGCACCTTTTGGAAGAAAAGGGTCGTGCAGGTAGAATTGTCATCTCCCAAGTGGCCAAGTAACTTTGGGCACTCCTTGCTCCAGGCCCGTGGGGACCACTACTCAGGGTTCAGGGCGGGCAGGAGGGAAGTTTCTCCAGCCTCCCCAGTCTGTTGGGCAGAGTGCAGTGGCGTCTTCATAGGAAACTTTCAGGTCAGGGCACTGATTTTCCTCTTGGTTTATTATTTGGGGTGACAGGGTTTGGGTGGGGTAACAGTATTTTATCAGGGTGCTTTTAAATTACTTAAAACAAAAAAAAGTCTACACACAAAATGTTTTGTTTTTTCCTTCATTTGCTCGAGTTCACTTTAGTGTGAGCCAGGGCCTTGGATGGTTACAAGACTGCTTTCTTGTTGAACAAGCATGTTGCCCCCAGTTTCTCCCTCGCTTTCCTGTCTGGCCTCCAAGCCTGGGCCCTGGGCCCTCACCCCACAGCCCCTCTTTCCAAACAGAAAAGGCCATGGTCAGGGTGTTTTTCTCTAATATACAAACACCAGCTTATTTAAGAATGCCAGCAAGTAACTCATTGGGAAAGATGGAGGGCCACATTCCCTTCAGGGAGCCCAGGGGTGTTTATCACCAGTGTCCATCCTGATACTGTAAGGATTATGCCAGGCAGAGCGGGGCAAGAGGTTGTTGAGGATGTGGGTCAATCATGGCAGTCCCTGACCCTGGAGGCAGGCCTGCTTCTGAGCCTGGATTCACCTGCAAACTTCAGTCCCTGGACAATTTGGTGTTCACAAGTGTTAAGAGGCCTGGGGGCTAGCTTTGAATCTAATCCTTGGGTAGGAGGAGAGGGCATCTTTAGATTTTAAGGCACCTGTGAACCTCTGTCCCTAGACAAGGCTGTCATCCCCTACTCCACTTGGTGGCAGGGGAGGGTACTGAGGGAAGTGTGAGTTTGTTCTTGCTTTTGAAGGTGAAACTGGTTTGTGCTTTCCCTCCTGTCCCCCAACCAGATGAAAAGGACACATTCCAATCCCTTTTGTTGGAGAATCAGCCAGTGTTGGGGGGGGGGGGGGGCGTGGAAAGCCAAGAAGAGAATCCTTTGAAAAGAATGTGAAATACTGACTTTCATTCTTTCAAGCTTACTTGTAAATACCTATTTGAATGCTGTGTATTTGTACAGGAATTTGAGCAAAAAATGTATAGAGTGTGATGTCCAATTGGTATTCAGCCCTATAAATGTGTTTTTAATCTCTGGCATTCTGTGCTTATTTAAAACAAGAAAACTTCTAACCATTTCTTTTGTGTGTTCATGTTTAAAGAAAAAGTTATTTTAAAATGAACTTACCTGTACCAGAAAGCAAAGTTAAAAGAAAAAAATTTGTACCAGTGTCCCAAGAGGTATTTTACTGTATATATTGTAGTAGCATGTTCTCAATCCAACAAGCAAGTAATGTGAATTTTAGATGTACATATCTACCACTTGGTTTCCCCACCCCCACCCCCTTGACTGCTGTGATGTGAATTAAAGATGAATACCTGATACTGATCCACTGAATTCACTGAATGGGAGCAGCGCAGGAGCCCCTCTCCAACCCTCCTCACCTGGCTCTAAGCCCTTTCAGACCCACGCACATTTCCTTTCTGCATCGCGCCCAGAGATGATCCTTTCCAATACTGCCTTCAAGGACAGGTAGCCCTGCCTTGGATTTGAAAGGAAAACAGCCAAAGCAGAAACATCCTCTAATTCTTCTCTGGGGACCCATAGGGCCCTACTCTGGAAGCACGCTGGGCAGCCAGTGGCCCTGCGGGCTCAGTTGAAAGCAGGTGAACCAGATAGTTCTACCACGCTTCCCTGGGAAAACAGGGAGCTTTTCCAAGAATGGGGACAAACCTCCTAAGGTTCCCTGACCTCTCCAATCGAGATAAGCTGGTTCTTTGCTTCCCAGAGCCTGGCCCAGGCGCTTCCCCCATAGGTCTAAGATGGCAGCCCGTAGATTAGTGGGTCTGGATTCCTTCCGAGAGGAGGTGCTCCAGCGGGAATAAGTCTGTCCACCACGGCAGGGATCCGGTCGACCAAACAAGGAGGGACAGGTCACCGGGGGTAAAGCAAGGAGGCTCCTAAAGCTGGTGGGGAAATTCGGAAATGGCCCTGGCCTGAGCCTCAACAGACACTGCTCAAAGGCTGCCACTCCCGTCCAAGTACTTGGTGTTTTTCGTGTGTGTGTGTGTGTGTGTGTTGAAAAGGAAAAATGTCTCGGTGCTTTCCGTGCCAGCTGCCGCCCGCCCTGCCTGCCCTGTTGGGTCTCCACTGACCCCAGGACCCCTGACCTGCGCTGCGAGTCAGGACCCTGGGCAAGGATATCCATCAAATTTTGGAGGCGAGATTAGGGTCCAAAGCAGGACCGGATTCAGGAGGCTCGGGCCAGCTGCGAGACCCCACTTCCGCCCGGGACGCTCACTTCGGCTAAGGCCAGTGCCCCTAACCAAAATGGCTGCCCACAACGCTTCCGCCGCCTCCGCAGCCGCTTCCTCCTGATGACCCTGGTTCAATCAGCGGCCGACAACTGTCTCGGGCTGAGGGCCGGCCGCGCCGCCAGCCAATGGGGAAGGGCATCGTGGAGCCGCCCGTCTGGGTTCCGAGGTTTATGGGCCAATGGGAGTGAGGCCTGTGGGAGGGCACGGGGGTCCCCCGCCAATGGAGAGCCGCGGCGCGCAGCCGGGACTTGGAGGCGGTGCAGCGCTAACGGGCGCGGTTTAGTCGGGCGACGGCAGCAGCAGTGGTGGAGACAGAGGAGGAGGATGTGGGCTATGCACGGGCTGGCGGTGGCGCTGGCTTTGAGCGTGCTGCCGGGGAGCCGGGCGCTTCGGCCGGGCGACTGCGAAGGTGCGGCGGGTCCGGGGTCAGCGCGGCGGGGCAGCCTAGTGGCAGCTCCGAAACAAAACCACGGAGCGGCGGGGGGCGGGGGCGGCCAGTCCCGGCGAGTTCCCGACGCGGAGGAGCAGATGCCGGGCGTTGAAACCACTTCCCAGGTCTACAAAACAGTGATCCGACGGCAAAAAGTTGGGACTAGATTGTGCTGAAAACTTGACTGGAAATTCAGATAACGAGTTCTTGTCTCTCCCATCACTGGTCAGATGCTCCCAGGTTGAGGTCCCTGTTGGAGTTAAGAAATTTAACCTCGGGATTCGATGTTGTATTTGCAAACGAGATCCATTATGATCGTTTTTCTCTTCGGTCTCCGGTCTGTTCACTATGAGGTCATAGTGAGTGCCTTGTCAAGGACACGTGTTCAGTCTTGGCTTAAACTTGACGAAAGGAACAGGGAGGAAACGTTTGTGGGTCGTTGGGATGGTGTTCGTTCCCCGCATACCCCAGGTGGACCGGAGAATCCCAGCAACTTTGAGTCGGACTCTTCCCTGAGAAAAACTCGGTGATACAAAAATGTACCTCTAGTGATTCATCTCCGTGTTTCCCATTAAAACTGCTGATGGGGTTCTTTCCTGGTGGATTGGGGTGCAACTTGGTAATTGCTGACCATCTCCCTTCCCTTTCTTTTCTAGTTTGCATTTCTTTTCTGGGAAGATTTTACCAGGACCTCAAAGACAAAGATGTCACATTCTCACCAGCCATTATTGAAAAAGAACTTACCAGTTTCTGCCGTGAAGCAAGAGGGAAAGAAAATCGGTTGGTGAGTAGCTGGTGACCCTCCCAAGCTGGCCCTGGTCCCATGTTGGTGTCACAGGCCTCTTGAGAAGGCCCTGCCCACCTGTCTTGCTAGGCCAGCTGTTCTGTCAGTGACTGAACAGGGACTAAAGTACTTTCCCAACTGTGTTCTGCCATTAAGATATCTCTTTTCCTGTTAGTATTTACCATATACCCATTATGTGCTGAACAGCGGGAATGTCGGGGGGAGCCATGACAGGCAAACAGATAATAGATGGGATAGGTGTCATGGAGAGAATGGACCTGGATGATATGATGGAGGGGATAGTGCAGATTTAGACAGAGTGGTCAAGAAGTAGTCTCTCTGAGAAGAGTCATCATTGAAGTTGAGGAAGAGCATCCCAGGCAGAGGGCAGGCCAAGCCCAAACCCAGGATGAGAGCTTCTAGTGAAACAATGGCTTTGAAGCTTTTTTTTTTTTTGGTAGTGTTTGGTTTGTCTCTCTCTTTAAAGGTTTGAACCCTGGTGACTCTTAAACTCATTTGATGGCTCTCAGCTCTGGGACCAAGCAGGTGTTAAGAGCCTGGGGTTTATACTGAATGGATCTGAGTGCCAGTATTCAGGCAGGCAATGGAAAATGAGGCCCTGGCAGAGATCGAAGATGTTCTGGAGGAGACGGCTCTCCTGTGGTACCTCCTGAAGACCGTTGTCCTTTCTTGCTGCAGTGCTACTACATTGGGGCCACAGATGATGCAGCCACCAAGATCATCAATGAGGTGTCAAAGCCCCTAGCCCACCACATCCCTGTAGAGAAGGTCTGTGAGAAGCTCAAGAAAAAGGACAGCCAGATCTGTGAGCTGAAGTATGGTGAGTGCCTCACAGCCTTGTTAACAAACACTGTACACCCTCCACAGCCAGGTGTTGTGGAGACACTTTGTAGTTGGGGGAGGTAAGTCATAAACTAAAACCATAAAGCCATGGTGAATGGGTTATATAGTGTGATAAAAAGGTAAACGAGGGGACATCAAGTTGACCCAACTCACCCTCATGTGTGTCAGAGTAGAACTTTACTCTGTAGTGCTTTCAGTGATTGGTTTTTTTAAAAGTAAATCACCAGGCCTTTCTTCCAAGGCGCCTCTAGATAGACTCAAATTTTAGTCTGCAATTACCAGCCAAGTGCATTAACTGTTTGCATCACTGTAGATGGTGCTAAATTCCTAGGGGTGGGAGGAGTGATCCAGCATCATAGTGGGTGAAGGTCAGGACAGATTTAATTGAGAAAGTGACATTTCACTAAAGTTCTGAAGAATGTGTGGTTTTAGCCAAGGGGTTAACTCATGTATCAGAATGAGGCAGCAGGTGGCTGAGCAGGCTACAGAGGGTCTTGCAGGTCTGAGAGCACTTGTGCTTTTAGTATGAGTGAAGTAGGGGCCATTAGAGGTTTGTGAGCAGAAAAGGGATATGATCTGAAGGCCCAGTGCGCTCATCCACACAGGCGTGACAAGCCCAAGAAGAACAGCAGCCACAGCATCTCTGGTTGCAAAAATACAGTCTGTGTTTGAGTGTGAATCAGGGCCAGGGACAGATATCCTTCTGTAAAGGTGCCAACATATTTTAACTTGAAATATCCAGACCAGGGGTCTGTGTTCATCTGCTTGTGTCAGGGATGCTTGGTCTTCTGAGCATGTTCCTGGTAGAGGTCCATCTGGCTCGTAGTCACAGTGGACATGGAGAGTAGCTCCTGCCTCGAGGGCCTAACCAGAGAGCTAGTGTTGGGAAATCAGGGCTAGGGGGGTGATCTGCTCTGTCATAGCCTGGTGCTGGGGTTGTACAGTGACTTGGCCTCTCCTGTGAGTGTTTGAGAGGCACTTGGAGGTGGGAGCTGTGCTGCTCCTGTAAGGACCATGTGGCCTCCATCCCTATCCCTGGCAACACTGCGTGTCTAGTGGACACTGCTGACATGAGGGCAGCAGGCACTGACACACTTCTGTATGTATCTGGAAATGTCCTCCCCTATAAACCAGTAGGGCCGTTTTAAGGGATGGGTTGGCCATATAGGAGTGACCTGTCCTGGGACTATTAGGGGGCAGTGGCCACTCTCACCCAGCCGGTCACTCTCCCTGCTCTCTTCTCTAGACAAGCAGATCGACCTGAGCACAGTGGACCTGAAGAAGCTGCGAGTTAAAGAGCTGAAAAAGATCTTGGACGACTGGGGGGAGACATGCAAAGGCTGTGCGGAAAAGTCTGACTACATCCGGAAGATTAACGAACTGATGCCTAAATATGCCCCCAAGGCAGCCAGTTCACGGACTGATTTGTAGCCTGCCCGATCCCTACTGCACTGGAGGGAAAAAAACAGTTCCTCTCTCTTCCCAAATAGCCTTTTTGTAATTTATTTTTTAAGTGGGTCCTGACAGTGTCGGGTGTGAAGCCTGGAACTCTCCTGATGATGTTGGCTCCACAGCCCTCATGGGGGATTCACTTCATTCTGTTGCTGGTTTACTCTGGAACTTGAAAGTATGTCTGGGATTTTTTTATTAAAGGAAAAAAAATTTCTAGTTGTTGGAGAATTAAAATGAATATTGAAGTAGGGCTTCATTCCATAATGAAGATCCCACCATTATGCTTTCCTTTTTCAAAGAATTTTCAAATGTATTCCCACTTGTCCTTAACCACTAATTAGTATTAGAGGTACCAAGGCAGGATATGGGCTGAGGCCAGCTAACGTGTGTGGGTCATGCTGGATGGAGGGTAGCAGGCATGTTGAAGTAAAGGAGCCTGGGAAAGGAGGTTGGGCTTGGTATCACCCCCACCCCCAGTGTCTGTCTTGATGAGCCAGCCAGGCTAGAGCCTACAGAGCACTTTCTGAGGGAGGGGGCTTGC